TTTCCAACAAGGTAACCGCCTAAAGCTCAATAACAAGCACATTTGTCTTATATGTTTGATACATACTGTATAAAAATCAAAGTGTAAAAACACCAATTTCATGTTTTAGGTTAGTAGAGAAAGAAACTGTCTCGTCCCAAAAATGTTGAATTATTCCTTTAAATCCTAGATCGTGTTTGGAGCTCAGCAAACATAGAGAACAGACTAACAACAAACTGTCAAGTGCATCAAAAGGCGAAAAGAAAACCATAAACAACTCTGCAAGCTTGTCAAAATACATTAACGAGAATGTCATTTGGAAAATATATATATAGAAACGTCCTCTCCGTTTGCACATCCACCGCTTATTACAGATGCGTTAGGTTTTGTTTGACATCATCTATCAGTCTGTGGTGACTCTCAGTTACACAGTCTATGTTAAGGAGGTTTCCATCGAAAAGGAGGAAAATTTAAGGAAGTAGCAGAAGCATAATGACATCAAACAACTAAAAGACTGAAACCTTAGCTTTCTACCATATGAACACGATGCGACTCAGATATCTCTGATAATGTCCGATTCAGTTAGGTGGGTTAAAGTAGCCTAGCTCTTAACATATGCTATCAAACACACCATCAGAAACGTTACGTTTTAAGCACACATGTAAAACAATGGCTCAAATCATACCATATATATGAACAATGAATAGGTGTTGAATGAATCCACTGGTCACATACTGTGTATACATACAGACTTACACACACTCTTGCACCTGTGTGTCATTGTATACACTGTCATGTAGGCTACTATGTGTACAACCATGTATTTACACACACTATCTGTTGTTTTCATCCTGAATGTATCTTTTCTATTTGTTTATTTTATTGTTTTGAATCAAATTTTAAAACCTGCTTCAAATTAGCTCCAGCTAAATAGCTCATATACATCATGCCTGTTGCAAAGCGTCAACAGCTTCCGTGTCATGCATGAGTCTTTATTTAACTTGGTCAACTGAGGCACTTGTCATGTACAAACGGCTGTTAAATGAACAACTGATCAATATTGACTGGTTAAAAACAGATGCAAATAGATGGAAATCCTCCTCTCATCAGAATATGTCAATAGTGCTGTTTCAGAGGGAGGAGGGAGGAGGAAGGAGGGGCTGGGGGGGGTTACCTGTGGCCTTCTGGCAATGATCAGCATAAGTCAATCACCCACCACTGTAAACACAGAAGCATTCGGGTGGGCTTCTTTATTAGCAGGGACCTGCTATCCTTTAACTTGCATGTGTACTGTGTATGTAATGATGCATTTATAGCGTCAGGGGAAAAAAAGGGCAAATCCAATCTGTGTGTGTTTCAGTCAACATCCTTGGTGACATTGAGCACCATGACAGTAAATACTCTTGCCCTCTGCGAGGATGCATCCTGCATTCCTGTCATGTCATGCATTTCTCAGCAATGTACAGAGGGGGGGCGAATAGAGGAGGAATAGAGAAAGGTGACTGCATGTCGGCATAAAAATGCATCACTTTCACATTAAAAGCCCCTGCGCAGGGCTTTCCTCGGCTTTCCCCGTGGAAGCCAACTGGGAACAAGAGGAAGGGGGGGAGGGGAGGAAGAGGAGGTGGAGGGAGGGGGGTGGGGGGGTAACACTGTACATGCGTAAATAAATTGGAAACACTTTGTGTGTGCAGACTGCGTTTACCTGTCGTGGCTACATTTGCAGCATCAGACGAGTGGTTGGGTAGATCATTCGAGTAAGTGCACTCCAAGCCCAGTACCGCATAGATGACGAGTCCACGTAGCAACACATTCACCACCTTGTGGATGTAACTCATGGTGGAAATGAGGTGGAAAATCTAGTATTTCGTATCCGTGGGACCGGGATTAGGAGTGTGGATGGAGATTTACAGCACAGGGGGGCAATCCCGGGATTAAAAAAAAATATGATACAGAAATATGTCAGGTGCAATAGCCGGACAGAGATTTTAAAAAAATATAATAAAAATAAATAAATAAAAAATTATCAGTCTTTTTTTATATAGCAGAAGTGACAGAAATGGTGGTGTCACGAGAAAAAGAGACACCTGGAAAATGCACCAACTTAAAAAAAAAAAAAAAAAAAATCCCGCAGTAGACTTGTTTGCAAACCTACCGGCTAACAGCTAAAACAGAAGCAGTCATTGCTGACAGTGAACCTCACAGGAGCGTGAAAAATGCCTACAAAATAATAGTCCATGGTGAGTCAAGGGCAAGGCAAACTACTTTGAAAGAAGACCCCTTTCATAAAAAAAAAAAACAAAAAACTAACAGCCTCTAATGGGTTCACTGGCTGCTGTTCCTGAGGGGTGACTACCGCGAGCTACGGCAAGCGAGACCCCCATATCTAATATTATACATTTAAATAGAAAAAATGTACACTAGCTAACAAAAAGAAAAACGACCGTGCGGTGAATACAGACAGGCTAAGGAGCAAAGCACATGCAGCCTGTCTGGAGGAATCCCCTGTCCAAAACAAAAACAGCCGCAAAACAATGGTAGTAGCTTTTCTACCGTGGATATCCGTGCGCTTTAAAAAATAATATCAAGAGCTCGTGTTAAATCCGTGCGTGGGCCTGTGAGTTGGAAGAAGACAGTCCCTGTACTTCCACGTACAGTATACAAACACCGGGGACAGCTTCAGCATATTGAACTCGCAGTGTCTCATAGGTCCGCCTCTTCATACGAAAGTGGCAAATCCCATTGCATCAAAAAAGAAAAAAAAAACCTACATTCACTTCTTCTTCTTCCTTCGTTTCCCTCACTAATCCCCTCTCCGACCTGTATCAGTTGCACACGACATCCGCCCACTTTCTACATGTAAAAGTTTTTAAGTCAGCTCTTCGTGGCTCGGTGTGATACTGTATTCTCCTGTCATATCAGCTGCTCGCCGGCTGATGCAGACCAGCGGGGAAAGGGAAGCCGAGCGGGGCGGAAGTCAGTATGCAAAATGGTTTGACATCAGGAGGAGAGGAGGAGAGGAGGAGGAGGGGGAGGAGGAGGAGGAGGGCGCTTAATTAACACCCGGAGGTTTTTGTTTTTGTTTTTTTTAAGTAATTCAACAGGGGTATCTCTTCCCTCCTACCCCCAGGTTTCATGCAGGGGTAGTAGGTGGCACAATTCACTGGCGCCGCTTTTTTGTGTGACGTAGCCGTGGCTGTGATGGATTCTTGAACCACTGCCAAAGCAGAGGAATCTTCCTCAGAAACTTCTCGTTTTTTCTTATGTTTTTTTTTTTTTTTCCAGTCTTGAGGATGATACCCGCTTCATTGTTCTCCACTTCCCCACTCCGGGCAATTCAAGTTTTTCCTCCAGGCTGAGCGCTCTCATTGGCTGGACTGTCCCAACATGGCAGAGCCTGATTGGCTGGTTCAGACACCACTTTTTGCTTCTTTTGAAGATGCTCAGCGCGGGAAATGGAGTGAAACTACAGAGTAATAACAATTATTTTGAATAAACCATTTGTTACGATTTATTTTGAGCCAGCAGATCATACTGCTGTCACCCATACTACTACCATTATTATTATTATTATTATTATTATTATTATTATTACTAATAATAATATTAGTAATAATAATCAAACTTGTGTGGCACTTTTCTTAGAGAGAAGAGAAAAAAAATCATTAAAAATAATATATATACAATTACTTATTAGTACTAATTATTATATAATATTTTAAACACTACTATTAAGAATAATAATAACCATCACTATACATGTCACTGGCAAAAATGGAAAGACAACACTTAATTGACTGAGATACTGGAAGATGTAAATATTTTTGATGAAAGAGGTAGCTCAAGGTCCACTTGCTAACTTTTTCAGGAAATAAAAAACTAAATAAGCTAGAAAATGGACTTATGATCAGAGACTTGTTGACCATGTTACTCTTGAATGCCAGGGTTTCCCCATAGTGTGTGGGTGGGGACTGTCAGGGCCATCCCATGCAAGTTGAGTTCAGGTTAATTTCAATATCGGGCTATTTGCTTCCATGTGTTGGAACAACATGACATTTTCATGTCAAGGCCCAAACAAATACAAATATGACCACAGACAGCAGGATGGTTAGATTTTGTTGAAAGATCGTTAGTTGCAGGTGATATTTGAAACTTGTGCCTTTGTAGACAGCAGCATTGATTCAAACGGCATATCTGTTCCATCCGTTCCAAGAGATGGACCAAGAAATAGCTCAGGCTAAATCGCTTACAGTAAGGAGTAGTATTTATCCCAGTTTCCAGTTTTATGTGGCATTCATTACATGTCTTATTGCACTCTCAGCTGTCCTGGGATCCCCATATGAAATGACCTGCCCAAGTTTCAACCTATAACTCCCTCATCTACTTTTTCACTGCATGCACCGAGGAGTGAGGGTGAGAATTGGCAGGAAGCCTACTGTACATAGCTCTGACATATTGAACCAGCTCAGTTAGTGGCTGATGTTACTGTGAAATCCCCTGAGTCATGTTTCTGATAGTTGAAACCACAGGTAGAGTATTTTGAATTTTACTCCAGGGTTTTCATCTAAATCTTTTCTTGATATCTTTGAAACATTTCCCATTTTATCACATATATTTTAAGTCTTGTTTGTTTTTGTTATACATATTTCATAAGCATATAAATGAAAAATAGGAAAATCTGTGCTTTATCTGTACTGTTACTATAATCTATCCATATACTTTTGGCACCACTTACTGGGAGGGAGCCATTACACAGAACTGTCTCATTACACTGTTCAATTTGATATGGTTTGAAAACGTAACCTCACAGTTGTTGAGTCATTTTATATCGTCAGTAATGAGAGCTCATAAGCAAAACATCAAACAGCTCGCTGTCGTCCAAACACTTAATAAGCTCACTGTACTTGATACGGCTTTCAGGGAGAAATCTTTCAGCGATGGCCAGCCTCAGTGTGTTGATGGACAGAAGACACATCACCCTGCAATGCAGTACAACAGCCACCAGGAGGGACTACCGTATGAGCCAACTACACAGCAAGTAATAGCTGTCTCAGGAGGAACAGACTTCTGGGGGCCAAAGGAGGTGCATGACTGATAAAAGAGTCAGCCGTGGGAGTCCTAGTAAACAGGTGGCAGATGTAGCAGGAACCGGGAGACAGGGAGAGACGAAAGAGAAGAACAGCAGAATTCGATACGAGCCCGCAGAGGGGGCAGCAGGGAGGAAGGCAGCCAACAAACGAGGGAGGAATAGAGCAGATGCTACGTGTAGGAGGAGGCCTGTGAGGAGGGGGCAGACGTTCAGGTCCCTCAATGCTGCTACCTGTCACTTACTCATTCTGCCTTCTCTAGAAATGCCTATGGTTATCTTCCAGAGTACAGTACGCCCTGTCCAAATATTTACCATGTCACATAAACCGAGAGAAATATTCAGTTGTGGAGCAGGAAGGATCAGTCAGCTTCTACTGAGATAAGACTAACTAAAAAGCTGTCAAACAATTCAAGGTCTAAGTCTTTAGATATGGAATAGAATAAAGTGGAGGAAGTGATTCAACAAAATTAGATTTTATTTAAAAAGATGTGTTATATAAGGTTGCAATAAACATTAAAATGTGTTTGATGAAAGACATTGGCATTGACTGGCAAAGCGTACTGTTAATGATTCAGAAAAAATGATTTGATTGCATTTAAATCATAAGGTGACATACACTGTCTTTTTTTTTTAACAGGACAAAGTAGGTCAATACATTCAGGCTTTAAATTCATAATATCAATTGAAAAACAACCATAAAATGTTCACAATGAAATAAAATAAATAAATACTGGCACTGAAGGTGCTAAATGTCCCTAAAGAGTGCAGTAATATGCAATTCCTTCATAAATACAATACATTATGTGTATACACAGCAGCTTCTAATCATATGGGATACAGTTTTAATTCAGTTTGTGTCTTTTGATGATTTCTTTCAACACGCTGGCACAGACTAATGCTTCCAATCTCCTCATTCATCAGCAACAGCTTTATCTAATAGTGTTATAACACGCAGGAGCCATGGAGCAGAATAAATTGCAAGAGCTAATTAACACTTCATTAGCCAAGCTTGGAGACGTTGCTGTTGTTCTCTCTCGCACTCTGCTATCGCAATACAATTACTGCTGCATGCAACTCATCTCCTAATGAGCTTCTCAGCTGATCCTAGCACTGCTGTGTGTATCATCTTTCCTGCAGAGCATATGGCTTATGGAGGTTAGCTTAGCCTTACTGGTCTGTAGGCTATACTTACATACTGTATAATATCTAATAACATGATACAGGGTATTCACTATTTATGGTACATACATGCTAAAGAGGGGTTTGGCTTTGCTTTAACCACTGCAGGATGAAGTGTGCAATGCCTGTGTAGGTCTGCCTTTGTTACTCCTTGATATCCCACACTATTGTCCAGCGTTTCTTGATAGATGATTAGTCATATTGGTGTGGTTTTGGCATAGCAAAGTGGTATTTCTATAGTGTCTCTTTATCCTCCAAGTGGTATGTACATACCACGACTCGTCCTGCAGGCTCGGCGCTCCTCAGATGGCGGTGGCAAATAGAAAGATCTGGATGAGTGGCATGACCTTCAGAGTTGAAAGGTCAGCGAGGACAGCCTGCAGTAAAACAAAACACAAATAAGATTTGTCATCTAAATTCACAACCCTCCTTACCACAGCAATTTTACCTTAGCGCCCCCCCCCCCTCAAGCCCACGAGAAGGGCTATAAAGCACACCCTCACTCTTTCCAACAGAAATCTTTAAGGATTTAAAAAAAGAACCACACAGACAGACACGCATAATGATGATGCAGGATCCTTGGGAAGCGACAATCCATGCTTAAAGAGTACACCGCTCCCCACCCTGTCCTTTTGGGATGGGTGGAAGATTAAATTTAGGGACCCTATCATGTTCAGAAGGAGGGTTTAATATTTCAACGCTGGGCCTGAGGTTCTAAATATAAGATAAGGAGCAGTGTGTTATGATACCTTCTCTCTCCGAGGGCAGGTGGTAAATGAGCAAGCAAATAGTGCCGGCCAGTATCTTAGAGCAGCAGATCTTCCTGTCGCCCCGTGCGTCACATTGTAGTTTAACCCCATCACCCTCAGGGGAAGGGGGGGGGGTGAAAAGGGGAGCGAGAGAGGCGAGTCATCGTGTGGTTTACTCTGGGGTTCAGTCATATGATAGTGGGACCACAGTATGGGAGAGGGTGTGGTATACAGTGCAAGCATGCACAAGAATTACATTACTGGTTACTGTAATCATGCAACATGAGTTACAGTGCAGAAAGCTAATTCTGGATGCACTCATTAGTTGTGTGTTTGCCAAATTTGTATTGCAGAGGTAAAGGTTATTAACACGATTCTGCACCAAAAGATGTCCGCTGATCTTTATCATGGCTAGTCTGACAGTGAATGGATTTAATAACAAGCTTGTCCCTTTATAAGTGATTTGGAGATATGGAGGCAGAGGACTCGTCGGCACAGAGAACGAGGGTGAGGGTTCTTAATGTCTCGTTTTTTCAGACATGTGAATGCAGGACACTGGGTTACTGGTACTGGCTGGTCATCAACGGTTATTTACAGCCTTTCAGGTTGTGGGCTTCAAACACACACACACAACACACACACTCAACACACACACACACACACACACACACACAAACACACACACACACACACACACACACACACACACAGGTCCAATGTGAAATGACCGTACTTCAGCTGAAGCCAGTGACGTCACTTCCATCAGGTTCTCGGCACGGAAGGCAAACACAGCAGCTGCTAGGACTAGAGGAGGTGAGTGTAAGCAAAGAAGAGAGAAGGAGAAAAGACATGGAGGGGTAATATAAGAGAGGGGCGGGGGATCGCACATGGGGAAAGAAGAGAGGAAAGAGAAGGATGAGGAGAATGGAGGGAGGAAAGCAAAGGGAATGAATGAGAAAACGAGGCAACAAGTGTCAGTCATATTATAATCACTGTATGACAAATGTCAAGACAGTTCATTGAGTATGAGCGCAATATGCCTACCTGCAACTACCTCCAGTGAGTCATATCCCAGGATACGATCCCAGAGAAGGAGAAGCTGGTCAGTAGACAGATAGCCAGAAAAGGCCCGCACCATCCACTTAAAGGCAATACGCAACCTGAGGACAGAGACGTCACATGATTTTGCATCAACACATTGTCGAGGACTTCAAGAGACTGAGATCTAGAATAAGCAAAAATAATACTCTGAGGGCTAACCAGGGAAATTCAGATGTAACACAAACCCTTTTAACTCTTTTCTCAATTTTTTAAATTAAAAAAAAAAAAAAAATTCCAGGTATGCACCACAAGATGGCAGTAGCTCACAACTGTAGGTCTGCAACAAAACTGCAAAACCTCAACAATAAAATGCATTTGTGCAGGGTGGATGTGACTCATGCACCTTATACCAACAGCTAAACATAGAAATACCATTTATTCTTAATGTCCCAGATGGGAACAGAGAGAGAATGACAGAAGAAACAACAAAATGCATCATTTATGGTCACTCCATCTACTTGTTATAGTTATAACTTATAATTAAAGAATACAGAATAGTCATGTTTTGCTCTTTTGACTGTTGTACGAGTAGATAAATAGTTAATGTCTGCAGCTGAATTTCTCCTTTAAGCCCATTGTTCAACAGTATTGGCATCACATCTCCACCACTGGTGACAGCATTGTGTGGGCTACTCACGGCTGTGCGCCAATCTGTCGGAGGTGGTAGAACAGCTGAGGCAGGTGGGTCTGGAGCAGCCGCTCAAACTGCAGGCACAAAGACACTATACCCTGCAGGAGCACATGTGTGACCATGTTAAGCAAACTGCATTGTACAGACATAAACACACAATATTTTGACCTTGAGATTTGTCTTACCGAGGGAGAGGAGGAGATGGAGTGTAATCTGAAGAAGTAGCGGATGTACATTTCCCTGAATACACTGTACAGCTTGGATGGCTCGTTGTATAGGAAACACAAGGGTGCCACTGTGGGACACAGTCCACAAATCCACACACACACACGCACAAGTACTCTCTGTTATATCCTGCTAATTCTATGTTTAGTAGCATTAGCACAGCACGTTGAGAGGTACAAGACATACTCACCATACATTGAAAACCCATGGAAAGGGATTACACCTGTTCAAATGAGATTTTCAAGTCAGTGCTATTCATACACATTTATTCTATGATCAGTGCAACTGAGCAACAAATATATTAGTCTTCAGTTGAAACTTTCACATTGAAAATAACATAATAGTCACATAAAAAAAGTATGAATGTCAGCCTCCCTCTAATAAATGCTGGGCCTGCTCACGTGAAATATACAGAGAATAGTGTAACAAATAGCTTGTCACGTCAACACGTAAATAATTTATTCAAATTTCCTCTCAATATTAGGTAATTAAAAATTATTTTAATGTCAAGATGGAGGCTCACCGTTGGGAGGATAAACAACAGCACACTCCTCATCTCCCACTTTCCCTGTAAGACAGACACACAAAGAAACTGATAACCAAGTCTGCGGCTTCCCAGTGGTGTGACGTGTCTCTAGGTGTGTGTGTGTGTGTGTGTGTGTGTGTGTGTGTGTGTGTGTGTGTGTGTGTGTGTGTGTGTGTCCTCGGTGAAGGGCATATCAATCATCTCACCCAGGATGTAGGATTTAGGAGGAGTGGCGCTGTTGTATTTGAAGTGCTCCAATACGGCAGTGTCCCGGGAGAAACACAGCAACACCTGACAACACACGTTTGGAATTAAACATGCTCAAACAAACACACACACACGCACCAACTAAATTAACTGACCCTGCATTAAAATTTTACAGATGAACTTACAACCTCAAGAAGCATTGTCTAACATGTCCCTAACATGTCTCTTCATGTCTTTATTGAACACAGCCATTAAAGTCTCACCATGCTGGCGGGAAAAAACAATGTGAGTTTAATAACTGATTGAACCTCTTTTGGCAGCAATAACCTCAAACCAGCTCTTCTGGTAGCTGCTGATCAGACCTGCACAATGATCAGGAGGAATTATGGACTATTCTTCCTTATAGAACTGCTTCAGCTCAAACATGGATATATGGTGTGAGCGGCTCTCTTCAGGTCATCACACACAGCATCTCTACTGGATTAAGGTCTGGGCTCTGACCGAGAGGCTTGGAGTGCAACCAGGTACCATGATTTCCATACAATTGACTCATGAACAGAGATGTTAGCCAGCTGTTGCTTCCTTTTTTTTTTTACCTCATTAAGCATCTGCGTTGTGCCTTTGTGGTCATCTTAGCTGGATGTCCACAGAAATAAATTGTCTCCATTAAACAAGATTGTCTGACTGACGACTGATGAATATCCAAACTCTTTGAGGTGACTTTGAAACCATTTACAGCTTCATGCAAATCAACAATTCTTGATCGTAAGTCTTCTGAGATATTTTTTTTTACAAGACAAGGTTCACATCAGCAGATGCTTCCTGTGAATAACGAGGTTAAAATTTATAAATGTTCTTTTTAGAAGTACAGAGTATCTCTAACTCAAAACTCCAATCTGGTTTCACTGGACTCCAGGTTTGATAACTCCTGACTCCAGTGAGCTTTTGTTGATGCCATTAGCCGAGGGGGTTCGCATACTTTTTCCAACATACACTGAATGTTTGAATGATGTTCTCAATATGGACAAAAACACTGTAATGAGTTGTGTGTTATCAGTTAAAATAGATTGTGTTTACAGTAACTTCAATGAAGATTTGACCAGATTTTAAGACAAATTTAAGCATAAATGCAGATAATTCTTTTTTTCTTTCCACTGTATATGGATTACATGCTCAGTGTGTAATATTATCATTTCCTGATGACAGGGGACAGAAGCGACTGTAGTTAATACACTTTTATTTGTTCAAGAGACGGAGATGGCTTTGAGCAGCCTCTTGAGTAAGAATGTCATTAAAGCAGCACACCTGGATCCAGCATTTCAGGATGTACTGAAGCAGACAGCAGATGAGTAACCTCAACTAGTTCTACTTATTTCACAGAATGACCGTATAAGTGGGAGCTCTTTCCATTATACTCCCATTTCTGTGTCATTTTGGGAACAGATTTCATTTCCACCAACCACTTAAGATGAATTACATTGGGGGGGAGGGGGATCATCCGTCTGAGCAAAGATGAAACGGTCAGCAATTCATAAAGCCTTGTTAATGGTAGAATAGGAAAAATGGCAGCAGATGAGGACTACTGCGCGTGTCTACACTGCTTCCTGTCTGACCTTGACCACTTTTTCGCCGGTTAGAGAAACTGGGTGGTCTACTGCTGAACTTGAAATGTTTTTGTCTGTTTGGATGGATTGTATACTGTGAGGCATTCTCTCACTTTATTCTTCTTTGAATATCATTTGAAATGTGAACGTAAATAGGCTACTTTGCCTTGATTGCCACAGCTCAGTACATGTTCTTTCTACCTGACAGACATTTTTTTCTGGGTAGCAGGTGAGGACACACTGATCATCTATTTCCTGGACTGACATGTATTTATTTTAATAAGCCTAAATGTACACATCCTAAGTGGCAACAATGTGACAGCTCTTCAAACATTTCTGGCAAATTGCACTTCTCGAGCGCTTTTGACAACTTCCTTTACTTTATTCCTTGCATAACTTCTTGAGATCATAATAGCACCTGTGTGAATCCACGCTCTCCCCACATTAAGTAGATTGTTTCACTGCCTAGTGAGTTTATCATTAGTCAATATTGACAGGGATACCGGAGCTTTGTTCTTGCTACACCTGTGTACTCACTGGTTAGCCACCGAGGAGCATGACTTGTTAACAGCTGCTGAATAAACTGGTTGCCAAGTATATTAATGTGTTTATCAGCTTAGGTCCAGCAAACAGTGCACTGACAACCAGAGAAGCTAATAATAACAGGTTCTATCCTTGTTAGGGCTGAAAATGTACCTGTAGATAAAGAGGAATGCTGTCACACAGTAATTTGCCCTTACGTGACCGAGAACTGACACAAGTTGAAATGTCAAACAACTCATTATTGATGTTTAAGCTCTTATCTAGTGGAATGGAGAAGACACAGCAGTGATGGTGGTTTTAATTCTGAACTGTGGTTGTATTTAAAAGTAGTGGGAACATCCACTTGTGCTAATTTCCAGGAAATAAGGAAATATCATGTTAATAGACACAAATGGCTTTCGAGGTTTTAACTATGTTGCAATGCTGACTTATAAAATAGAGGAAATAAAAAGCAATTATAAAAAATCTCTTTAACAGTTAATGACAATCATTTCAGAGTCAAAGTTTTCCACCTTCACTGCTACTTGCCCCAAGCATGATATCCAGTTTATCCAGTTAGTTTTAGCAATTAAACATGAGTGATTTCTGTATTTGTGTTCTGACTGGTTTGTCGTGGGAAAAAGTGGCTGTCACAACTTTACAAGCACCAACTTAGATTCGAAATGTGTTGTCAGTTTAGGTTGGTTTGCTTATATTACCCGGCTACAGTCATTAAAATCTGATCAACCCACTCTACTCGGTCCCAATGAAACAGATTTGCATTTTTAACTGTCTTTAACTTGACAGTTTAAGTTTTCAGTGGCCTCAAGCAGGAGTAATGATGTGGTGAGTAATGAGAGGTGGGAAGCTGAAATGGGGGAAAAAAAAAGAGAGCTCACCTGATAGAGGAAATCTTCAAACACAAAATAGTAGTCATCATTACTTGCGGTGAGCTTCACATCCTGGTGGGCAGGGAAGAAAAGTACATTATGCGTACAGCTTATAAATCAGGAGAGAAAAAAGTTAAAATAGAGGCACTGTGAAACTTTGGTGTCATATTTTATGCAGAATAAAATTCTCCTGAAAACTCAACGTTCAAGTATTTGTTTTTAACATCCTGCCTGTGCAGTTACACAAACATGAACGATACCTTATAGATAAGGTTGTCCACCAGCAGGTCATGTTGTATGACTCCAGCCTTTAGTTGTTCATAATGCATCACATCCTGGAAAGGCAAAGATCCAACATGTTTCATGTGCACAGTAACTTGCATGTAGATCACATCCAAAGCCCAGTGTGTGTGGTTCACAAATTACACTGTTGGAAAAAAGTTAAATCTTTTATGCAATTTTCTGTACAAACTTACTAACTACCAGTGTTCTGATAAATATGGTGAGTAAAAGGGAGTTTTCTCTTATTATTAAAAAAAATCCATCACCCTCTTTTAAGTCAGTTTTAAATCAACATTATGTATTCTCCCTGACAGTGACGGCAGGATTGAACCAAGCTTTAAGGACGGGTATTGTGTTTCCGACCACATGGTTAAACTCAAATGTGTCTCCGGCTTTAGACAGGTTATCATAAATGAAGTAAGAAACAGTCGACAGGGTGGACGGAGCAATAAAAACGTCCTCTGTGGCAGTTGTGAAGAACCTTGGCAATGATCAGTGCTGCGGAAGTGAGGAGAACGGAAACAGAGATCATTTTGACAGCTGAGAAACCACTGTAGTGATATGGACAAAAAAAATGGATGGGGGTTAAAATAAATGTTGCTAAAATATTTAAAGTTGATTATATATCTTGTTGCTATTAAGTGAAAATGTGATTCACAGCAGTTCACCCTGGATATATTTCTAGGGAATAAAATCAACCTGAAATCAGGCACAAAAACAATAAGTTTATCAAACAACATAGGATTGGTAACCTTTATCTCAGTAAAATATTTCCATGCCATAACTGCAGATAGGGCAGAATAAATATAAGCCTACCAAAATATTAGTGTTTTCACATCAAGTCTTTTCAAAATGTTTGTGAAGCAATGGTTGTTAAAACATCATTTTGAAGATGCAGGCAAATCTGCAGTTAAAAAGTCAGACAATGCACATGTTGTCACTGGCCAACTCTGACTGTTTAATGTGTTTGCCCTTGTGTCGTCCAGAGCCACGGTGACGCTCTCCAGGCCTCAGTCAGGTCCCCGTAACTCTCCCTCAGAAATCAATCTTGCTATCACAAGTATTGTTTTATCGACTCTGCCTCAACAGGAGACTCTGGAGCCCAGCGTTTACACAGCACTTTGCCACACAGGCAGGCGGTTGCTCTGTTTGGGCTAACTGTGCTAAATCGCAAGCATTTGATTATCTTAGCAACTGTACACATGGCACAAGCCGCAGCGAGCTAAGATAAACAGCGCAGGGTCTAATACACTGATTATGTAGGACATGTAGGTCAGCTGGTGATCAGTATGTTGGTTTTTACTGTGCAGTGTGAATGCCAGGATACCAAGTGAATTGTGCTGTCAGGATTCTCCAATGAAATAAGTAAAAAAAAAAGACCTGAAAATAGCTGCAGCTGAAAACTTGAGATTGTAGTCAACTTTGGGAATCCCTGAAGCCGTATGTGGACGGCCCCTTTATGAGTGGTGTGCAATTCAGCGATATGTTTGTGTGTCTGTGTATATGCCGAAACTACCGGTGGCTGGTTAGTGGAGTTCAGGATGAGGGCCCACAGGTCTGCCCGGAGCCCGGTGGAGCAGCCCTGCCTGCTGTACTGCTGTGCTGCTGCACTGTCCTGATCCACAATCACTAGCCAAAAGAGACAAAAAGTAAAAAACAGGAGAGAGAAAGAGAGGTGTATGCATGAAACAGAAAGGCTTTTTCAGTCCACCTTTCTTCATGCCCATATGCTTATTCGCTTTCTTGCAGTGACTTAGATGAGAAGATCGATACCACTCTCATGTCTGTCCGTCAAATATGAAGCTGGAGCCAGGAGATAGATATCTTAGCTTAGCTTAGCATAAAGACCGGAGGCAGGGGAAGACAGCTTGCATGGCTCAGTCCAAAAGTAACAATGTCTGCTGGACAAACTCTTTGCCAGGAGCAGTGACTTCCTGGAGTCTCCACTGGTTGCCTGGCAAAGCTCACAGCGATGACAAGACTCCAGGAAGTCACTGCTCCTTGCCAAGAAACACTCCAGCACACAACCCCCCCCCGTAAACTGCAATTTATCATTTTTATACTCACTTCTTCATACGGATTAAACAAACAAGATACTGAGAGTTGGTGAATGTGTTTTAAAGGTGCTGATAACATAAACAAAGTTCCTAACCTAACCTGTCTCTAGTCTCTATGCTAAGCTAAGCTAACCAGCCGCTGGCTCCATCTTTTTAGTGAATGAATATGAGTGGTGTTGATCTTCTCATCTAACTCTCAGCAAATAAGTGTATTACCTGAAATGTGGAACTATTCCTTTAAGTTATTTATTTAAACCGATACCAAAGACTTATTGGTTTCAGCTTCCCACTACTGATGATCTGCTGTGTTTCTCTGTTTTCATCATCATTGTAAATTAAATATTTTTGGATTTTTGACTGTTAATTAGAATCTGAATTTAAAGCAATCACCTTGTGGACCATGTCACTTTGGGACATTACAATGGGCACTCACTTTTTTTCTGACACAATACATTATTTCAAAGTTATCAACAGAATAAATGATAATAAATATAATCATCATATCCAGTTCTCCTTATATCTTAAAATGAGACTTTGAAAGGAGAACATATAACATATAAAAAGTTGAATTCATATGCAATTAAACACATCATTGTTTGATGCAGAACATTCAGGGGTTTTGTCACGACAGTCATGCTTGACCTGGTATGACCAGTGGCTTGCGGGGCAAATGCTAGCTAATGATAGCAAACATTAGGTCAACTTTGCTGCCTAAGCAACATTACTCAGCCAGTTTACTGACTTTATAACTCCACTTGTTCTACTGTGTAAGTACAATTCTAACATTTAGCATTATCCCATAATTGTCATGACCACTGTCTAGAAATTACACAGTCTCATTTAAAGTATGAAACTATGAAGCTAAAACAAAAATCTAGAGGAGCAAAGAACATATAAAATCCTGAAAATTAAAAGTCGGACCAATCTGAAATCTGAACGACAACGATCAATAGAAAGGTCTCATGACTTTCTGGCAATATGACATAATATGTACAGACAGGAGTAACCCAGAATGGTACAGAGCCAACTGAATCACCTGGGAACAGGAACACCTGCATGTCTTGAATGACTGCAAAACAACAGGCAGGCGGCTCAACTCTGAAACTGTGAAGAGGTTTGTTTTCTACATGAGGACTCGGAAAAGATCAATTAGGACAGAAATAGAACATCTTTCAGCTGAGGCTTGATACATGCAAAATCATATAATCGAGAGAAATACTACATATTAATACACACATATTAATCTGAAAACGTTGGTGTGTTGCTCAGTCTAACATGTATGTGTTTGGGTTTCACGGCGTTGCTCAGTCATAAACACACGTTCACAATTTCAATCTTACCCTCTGAAAATGAATAAACATTTTTAAAAAATCATAACATAGACATTCCCATAATGGGGATTATTACATAACTTTCAAAAAAGCACTCAGGCACATGCTGGAAGCAAACTCTTCAACATCTCCATTCTGCCCTAAAGCTGTGTTTGCAACAATAGACAAAAACACACAGCCCTTGACTTGCTGGCCAATCATAACATAAACGAACACACTCCTCGCCTCTTAAATTTCCTATTTGAGTGCACTTAACACTTGGCCTGGAACACAGCTCAACATTTGAAAGCCAACACGCAGCCAGTCGAGGGTGAAATAGTGGACAGGGAACTTGTCGCTGTGTATATAAAATGCAGCCTGTGTTTTTCAGACTCTTGTCAATAGATGTCTGATTGGTGTCCATAATGAGGTTGGCGTTTACACTGGGTTCATAGCAGAGCAATGAGTTAAAAGTTATAGTGCCCCTCTTACCGATTACTGCACCTGACAGGGCAAAGAGTGGGATTAATTAATGGAAGGAGCTAACTTTAGGTATTTTCTGTGTACATGTGGTGGTCAGTGACTGAGTCAAACTTATATTTCTAAGAATACTGGGTCCGCTATTCTATACCCTCTACTCTTTATACGATTATCTTTTCATGCACCACACTTTTTGACATTTTATACCAGCTCCAGGTTTCATTCTTTTAAAATAAAAGAAGAGAAGAAGCTAAAGTTTCATGTAAAAATAAAAACAAGATCTCTAATGGTCTAAATTAAATACAAATATAGACCATAAAACTACAAACAAGGCAGACTCAAGGCAGGAACTGGAGCCTAAGGTTCCTCTACTTAATACTGAGCTAAAGAGAGCAAATACTGACTCAATCAGTAATACTTATGATCAGTAATTAATAATGATAAATCATAAAGTAATGGTACTCCTGGTAGCCTCTGGTTCAAAGGTGTGCCGGGTACTTGGAGGCCCACATTTATATATTTAAATACCTCAATTAAAGAATCAGAACAAACAGAAAGAAATTCAACAATTTAAAACCAAGAACCAAACACTTACCTTTTTTCCCGATTTGAACATACTCGTTTTCAAACAAGTCTGCACAGGGTTAAAAAAAAAAAAGAAAAAAAAAAAAGAAAGAACAAAGCTGATTCATCAGTAATGGTCTAATGGATGGCGGTGGCTCAGTTTTTCAAACTAATGTTATCTCTTTGATTTTAAAACACAGAGATTGTAGATATGACTCTATTTAAAGCCCAAACACCAGACTGCAACAATGTCAATATCTGAACTTAACAGAGATATTGTTTTGAGAAACCCCAGACAGCCAATTGGCACAGGAAAGGAGCGCACGCTGATACGAGGCCAGTGTGGTTTAAACACCATTAAAATGCAGTGCTCATTAGGTAAACACATTTATTTCAGTAGTATTTAGTTCAGAATATTTCTCAGTAATCACTTTAAGCAAATGAAAAGATATTAAAAAGCTGCTGAATGTTTGATGTAAGCAGTGATCCAAACTTGTTTTATGGAATTGTATTACCAGTCACATGATATGTATTTAATAGAATAAAGTCCTCGAAAAGCTTCAGAGGCCACTTAAAATATATACTGTCCAAACCAGTATCACAACAGTCAATTATTCAGCTATGACGCAATGTCCAGCATGCCACATGTGATTTTGACAGTACGCAGAAACCATTAAAGGACCAGTGTGTAGGATTTAGTGGCATCTAGCAGTGTAGGAGAACCTACGGTGGCCTTCAGGTAACATTAAAACGCGAAAGGCCGTCTCTAGAGCCAATGTTTGGTTTGTCCCTTCTGGGCTACTGTAGAAAGATGGCAGTACAACATGGCATGCTCCATAGAGGAGGTGCTGCTGCCTATGCAGATACAAATGGATAATTCAGAGCTGATGAAAACAGAACGATTCTTAGTTTCAGGTGATTATACACTAATGAAAACATACCTATGAATATTATATTCAATTTCTGCCAATAGATCCGCCTCAATCCTGAACACTGGTCCCCTAAACTAGCTGACTTATTAAAGGAATAGTTCGACATTTTGGGGAATAAGCTCATTTGTGTAGCTCCCAAAACTATTCCTTTAACTACTGTGTAGTTAAACTGTGCTTGAACTGTGTTTAACCACACATGAAGAAGTGTATTTTTGTGAATACCTGGATGTATGTGTGCATGGTCATCAATCCCCAACTGCCCTGTGGTCAGGTTCAGCTCTGAGTAGGCCTGTCTCTGAGAGTTCAACAACAAACAAAAAAAACACATTTGGGCAGGTTTCAAATCCATTGTGCATCCATTTCCGGGGCAGCGTAATAGGATATACTGTTATATGCATTGAACTCACAGTGAGGTCGCTAATGGACAGAACATCTGCAGATGGACACACACACACACACACACACAAACACAAGCAATAAAACTGAACCAGATATCCACAGGGATCCCTACCAGCTGTGGGATGTCCCTGACATTGAGGGGAACCTGGATGAGACCCCAGTGGCTCCTGGCGTTCACGTCCTCGCTGCTATCATGGTTGGGGTTCCGTAAACTGATTAACACCTGTGTAGAAAGCGTTAATGTAGTACATGTAGTTCGCTGCTCTTCTTTAACACAAGCAACTGTGCTGAATGTTGTGAGCAGCAAAGAATCTGCTTACCTCCAGAAAGTCTTTGGGGGCATAGACGGGCCTAAAGCGGCTTAAATCTGCAGAAAAGACACAAACACTTGAATGCATCTCAATAAAACATTAGTTGATTGCACCACTTACGAAGGACACTTCTCCAGATGACAAATGTAGTCAGTGTTTACATATGCAATTTCGGAACAGGTTTAGCAGCTGTAAAATCTAGACTACACAAATGTATCCAGCCATGAAGTTCATTTCATCAACTTGAACTTGGATTTACTTCTGAATGCATTCATGACAGTTGACTTCCATTTGTGCAGGCAGAGCTGGCAGCTTCTACAAAAGTCAAAAAGGCAAAGTACAGGGCAGCTGAGGCGCATTCAGCCTGCTTTAAGTGGGACTTCCATCTGCCGTCTATGTAGCACGGCAGTAAATTTAAGTGCCGTGTCATCCTGAGAACGAGGGCACGTTAAGGTTTTGGACGGAAGGAGGGGTCCTGCTCGTTATCGCAGCTCCGTCCAAGGAGTCTGGACAGCTTCTATATTCACAGCCCAAAGTGTTTATAGCCGGGGGACAGCACACAGTCCTAAATGTTATTATACACCGCTGTGCTGTGATAGCATTGTTAGGACACCATGATTACCATGTACATGAGCTGGCTTGAAGTGCAAATGGTTGGTTCAAGTATTAATATACTGCATACTCTCCCCTTAAAATCTACTTTTAATATACACTTAAGCTGGGAGGAGAACTATCAAATTCGCCACTGGAGGAGGCAGCTAATAATTAGCACTGTGGTTTTAGTATCAGTGTGTCCAAGCAAGTATTGTTTTTTTTTTCTTGCCCAATGGCTGTGATTTGAATCTTAATATAAGCCAGTAACTATCAGTATAGACAAAAAATCAGAGAGCAACAAGTGGAAACTCTAGTATTTAATATCTACCTTTCATGTTGTTGCAGAGTAGAGCAAAAGATATACAGGCTTAAGCAAACATGAAGTGGTAGATCTCCCTCAGAGATCAGCTAATGTTAAATACACCAGTGTCTGAGCGAGGCAGCAGTTTACATCAACACATTAACACTAATCTTTCATAAAAGGCAGATTGCACAGGGCCAAAACCCCTGGGTAATGTCTTGAGACCTGGTTCATCTGTGCCCATCTCATTCCATTTGTTGGTGAGCTCCTTCTGCTCCACTGCAGGCCTCTGTGGAGTGGGCGGAAAGAACGGATTTCAACATACCAATGCCACACTGCCAAAACAGAACATATCTTGAAAATGTCACATCGGAAATGTGCTTCTTTGGTCATAAATAAAATCACATGTGCTCAGAACTGAATAATAATACTGATAAACAGATTTCAAACAGCACTGCCTGCTTTTTATCAGTCTAAAGCTAAAGGGGTTATTGCTAAGTCTATCTCCACAGGGCTTAACTAGCTCTTGGCTGCTGTCAAACTTAGCCGCAGGACTGAAATGATACAGGCTTAAGATGCACTATGCAAAAAATGATGCTAAAACAATGACACAATATGACAAGAATGCAAATCTTATGAACCCCTGTGCAGTATAAAAGAGTAGAATTAATTGAATTAAGAGCAATTATGCTACGTAAGCTGTGATTGACAGCTACCATGCGGGCCAGCGGCACTCCCAGCTCTGTACTCATGCTGTTCAGGCTTTTGAGGACACGCTTCTCCCAGTTGCCCTGTATAAGAAAGCACACACACACACACACACAAATTTGGCTTCAAACACTGTATAACAAATAGGTAACTGTTAAAAAAAGAAAAAAAAAAAGAAAAAAAAGCAGGCCACGTCACGGAATTCAGCAGCCAAAAAAGACAAGAGTTGGGGAGGTAGAAGAAGAACAAGTGAGGAGTGATGGAGATAAGAGGAGACAGACTGACCTGTGCCTTGCGCATGTAGGCCAGCGGCTCTTTGAGATGCTCTGGAGGAGCCGCGGGATGGCCCGGGGGCAGCTGGCTAGAATAAGCAAATGGAAGAGCGGTGGCGAGGAGCATTACAGTACAACAGAAGAAGGTCTGATCAAGTAAACACATCAAAACGCCACTGTGTTTTTACCAAAGGGCTGACAGATATGAAGGTTTGAAGCCAATACATACACAAACAACTTGCTTTTCAAAACGATATGTGCTTAATAAAAGTACATTGTCAAACCAAGAGGAAATAAAATGTTCTGATTATTCTTCTTTTTTTTTTTTTTTTAAAAAAGGCAGTTCGCCACCATTAGTGCCCTGCCCTTGAAGCTCAGATGAGTCACAACACGTCTCCACCAAATGCAGCTATTGTCTCATGTCTTTTCAACGCTAAGCATGCTCAGGGCATATTGAATGACTCAAGGTCTCAGCGCGTTAAACAACATCCAACCTAATCTAAACACGTATAAGAGCACATAGGGCTGACTAATGGCAAAAACGAGGCATTAGTCAGTGTTATATGTCGTCTTTTAACAGCAAAGCATTAAGCATCGTATGTCTCAGTCTGAGCCTCGAGAGAGCAACGAGGTTATGTTACCCTTAAAGGTAAGAAACTGTAGTTGAGGAACACAAGTTCTCCAGCTATTTAGCCATTTGATTCTAATAAAGATACGACCTAAAAGGCCACATAAATCTGGATTATTATGGTGTAATTATCCATGTTTAAAGATTATCACTAGGTAACAATTTCTTCATAGCCTTCATTACAGTGTTTTTTTGTCAAAACATTGCATCCAAATGATCCATATAACACCAAAAACTCTACACACCGCCCAAGAATGTGCGATACTTTCATAAGCTTTATCCTAGATCTTACACACATATCCCCCTCTGTTGGGAACTCCTACTTGATGATAGAGAGGTTTTGAGTCGTCTCTCTATCACACAGTTTGGGTTGTATCTCTTGATGTGAGTGTATGTGAACGTATGTTGGTGCAAAAGCTTTTAATATACTTTTCGTATACAGTATGTTGCTTGATGAGCGCTATGGTGCTGGTAAGTAGGAATGTGTCATCTCTGTGGACATTTGATGAATCAGGATCGTAATACTTTTTCCTTTTAGTGTACATACACAAATACATACATGCATAAAAGATTTGAAGGGGCTTAAATGTGTTAGACATATTAACCCAGATGTTGTAGGGGAAGCTCAATCAAAATAATTTCCTCCACATGCATGAGGAAGCATGAGCACGGTTGTGAGCTGATGTGTGTCTGTGCTTTGAATTAACGTGTTCAAGATTTGGTCAATAGCCAAAACAGACAGATTTTTCCTCTGCATCTCACAGACTAATGAGGCAGATTAGTGTTTCCATGCTTAATAAATGAAAGAAGTGAGCATTTACTCTCTTATTGTTTCCTGAAATGCACAGGGAAAATTCCTAAGAGTATTTATAGATCTAAGTGCACAATGTCAGTCTACAATAACTAAATGTTGAGAATTTCGTGCATCATTTGTAATATTTACTAGTGTGATATGGCCCAGTTACAACAATAATAACTGAATTGAAACCTAATAGGTGCCACTACTGTGCGTATACAAGTGTGTCTGTGTAACACAATTTTAGACTGGATATAACTTACACGTGCAGCTCTCTGTACACCGCATTCTGCAGCTTTTTTTCCCAGCCTGTAAAACAGTGAAACACATTATCATCACACAGACAAAACCACAATAATAAGTCACTTCTTCTGTTATTACTGTGAGGATTGAGCTGTGGCTGTTAATGTGATGCAGGAGCTAAATAAAATATGACCCACCTGATGTTTTGAGAAAACTGCGTACGTCCTCTTTGAGAGACTCTAGTTTTATCTCAGGTTGATGTAAACACTCCTAAATATTGCATTGGGAAAGAAGCAAAGTAAAACTGGACACTTCATACGTATGTACATTGCTGTATTCTCGCATTAAGATGAAATAGAAGCACAAATGCAGGTGTACGCGACACTCTGAGGTTTACAGCAACCTGCTCGTTAGCCACATGCTAACCTACTCACTTTGGCTTGGCTCTCTATCTGAGAGTGTAAATGGCTTCCCTTCAGCCGCTGCACGATCTGGGCGATGGTCAGAGATAACTCGGTGCCCTCGTCCATCTTCTTTTCCCAGGGTTCGTTTACCTTCGCGTCTAAAACACCACAGTTTCATTCACTGTGCGCTAGCAGCATCCAGCAATGCAGCAGCAGCCACCACCACCTGCACCCCCGCCCCTCCTCTGCAGAGGTTACTTAGCAACTGAGGACGGTCAGTGAGCGTGCAGGGGAAACAAGGACCCGATACTTCGGTTCCGAGCTGAAAATGAGTTCCGGGAACAAAATCAGAGGGTCATAATTTTGGATTTCTTCCAAAAAATTAAGGGTTAGAATTATTCTTTTAATACCACACGTTAAACTAATAAGAATATGTGATTTTTTTTGTGAGGTTAAATGCAAGAAAATACATGAATTTCTCACATAATATCACATTTGAAACACAATTCACATGGGACGAATTTCAGTGGTAGGATGTAACAAAGTACATTTACAAAACTATTGTATTTAAGCACAGTCTTATGCTTTACTTTATGTATTACCATTACTTTTATTCAGCTGCATTAAAAGGGAAACGTTGTAGCCTACTTTTCCATCCACTACTTTTACCTGACAGCAATAGTAATATTATTTTTATGTGGTCAGATTATTTGATGGATTGTTACAGATTAATCTACCCAACATTATATAAAGTAGTTACAATTAGCTCCACTACAAAATGAAAATGCTACTTACACATAAATGAATCAGTGTGTATAATATAATGTGTATAATTATAACCTATATCTTACTTTAGTGCTCTTTCATATACCTACTTTTGCTCATGATACTTTCAGGAGCCTATGTTTTGCTGACAATACTTTTGTCCTTTTATTTTCAGGTTTTATTTGAAGGGCTTTTACTTGAGTATGTTTACATTCTGGTACTCTTATTTAAGAAAAGTGTCTGAATAGCTCTTCCATTCACACATTGGCACACATGAGTTCAGACGTGAAATGCTGATTCATGTGATAATAGGCACATGTGGTCTGAGCACATTTCACTTATGAAAAAAATCACATGATGCAGACAGATCTGACTTTTTTTGGACAATATATGAATATTTTTTGACATAAGTGATTAGTATTTTTATGTTTCTTTAATGTACACAGCACCACTCCCAAGCCTTTCTTCATCAAACATATATTCCAAGACAATAATTATTGCTTGACTCTCTCAGGGAGTGGGACAGTATTCAGTGCTTGTTCTGAACATATTGGAGTTGGCGTTGCTTGGGCGCTAATGACAGCGTATCTCTCCGGCCATCAGAACAATTACAGCTTGATTCAATGAGCTTTCACATTGTTGCTGACATGTTCACATGAAATGCCACAGCAGGCAGTACCATGCTTTGAAACGTGGCAGCGAAGTATGGAGAAAGATGCTTCACATAACACTGCTCCTAACATTTGAAACGATGTTAGTTCCACTTCATGCACCTTGAATATTTTGGCTTCAGTATTTCCTCCTCTCTTGTAAGTGATCCGGGACATTATAAATATTTAGGAAATTAATAAAGAGTCCAGAAGAATGGTTCTGCTTAATGCAGCCAATCCAGTGCCCACTTAACTCTGTGCAGCATCTCTATTACCGCAATGATTTACGACCGGGTGTTTTATAAAAAAAGGGAGCTGCTGACAGAATCTAAAGGCGGGCTGTGCGCTCAAGAATGCGAGCTGTCCACATGTGGCCAGTAGCTGGAAATACTGAGCACTAGTGGAGCGAAGCGCACCAGACTGAGAGAGCGCACGGGAACTTGTAGACAACACTGTTGTTATTATTTCTCTAATTTCTTCTCTTTTTTTCTTTTTTTAAATTAAGAAATCGGCTGAGAGTAAATGTATAATTTTGATATGTTCAGTCCTTTGGCACATTTTCATCTGACAAGAGCATGACGACTGCCGTTCATACGACTGATTTAACTTGAGGCTATAGGAGAGAAAGCGAAATGGAGACGTTTACAATACACGACATTCTCCTAAATTCAACTGATCTCAACAGAATTTTGTGCAATTTCGGGATCAAGAATATTTCGGAGTGCGAGAGCGAGCAGGATCCCTCACCCGAACCTAAAGGTACAGCGAGTTTATATATATATTTATAGATATGTTTTTTTTTTTTATCACGATCAAATGCTATGACATATCATAGTCGAATAGTTGCCGATTTTATTCAGATACTTGCTATTTCTAATGTTATCAAAATGCAGCCATTTGTGCCAAAAGAGCGACTCCTTTGGGCATTTTTTTTTTGCGTCAGCGCGCATTACGCATATGGCTCAGGTCCTCCATAAAGCTAATGTATTCTGCTGTGCCTTAGTATGACACATATGTTGTCACTGCACACTAGTTCTGCCAATGTCAAGTGAATGGAACTGCAATTTTACACTTCATGGCTCTAGAGAGTTTAATTGCACAAACTTTGTACATTCCTGCCCATAAAACCCAAGAAGAAGGATACAACAGCCTAAGAAATTCAATTTAGGATTATTATAGTGATATTAGGAGATAAAATACACTATCCTGCAAATTCTGAGCATTAAAGTACTGTATGTAAGTCCCTAGGTATAGCCTACATTAGGACTATTAGAGTGGTATTTGCTCATAAGGTGTACATGAATACAGAGGCAGTGCGTGTGAGGGAACAAGAGAGGGAAAGGGTGAGTCAAAAAATATTTGGGTCACCTTTTAAGAATGACATACCCTGAGTTTACGCATGTCTCCTCAATCTGTGTCCCCTTCCTCTCAGATATCAACCAGACAGTGCGGATCGTCCTCTACAGCCTCATCTTCCTCCTCAGTGTCCTGGGCAACAGCCTCATCATCGCCGTCCTGGTGAGGAACCGGCGCATGAGGACCGTCACCAACCTCTTCCTGCTGTCTCTGGCCGTCAGCGACCTGATGGTGTCCCTGGTCTGCATCCCCTTCACCCTCATCCCCAACCTCATGAGGGACTTCATCTTTGGTATAGGCATATGCAAGCTGGTCATGTACTTCATGGGTGAGTGGATTAGGATTTTTTAGGATTGTGATACATCTTTAGCCTTTTCTTTTCAGGTCTTAAACCTTCAGTTACAGTAAGAACTTTTATGACCCTTATAGTTCCCAGAAGTGGTTGTTAAATATTCCATGAAAACACTTTAGATTAAGGTAATACAATGTCATATTTAATTTCTTCCAATAACCTTATTAGTAAAGGATTCCTCAAATATGTTTGAGTTTAATGTGTAGAGTAGATGCTGCAATGTTTCCCTGTTGGCCTTTAATCCAAATCCATTTCCATCTCCTAATACTTCCATCATGCCTGCTGCAAAATGATGCAAGTCTCTACGTCCATGCTGGATGACTATTATTTGTTTGATTGCTCTGGTAATAGCATTATATGTCGTCTTAGGCCATGTCCCAAGCAAGGTTCATTTGCCTGCATGTTTAAATGCTCCTGGTGTTTTAATGAGCTTGAGCTAAAAAAATGAGCTAAAAACAGCGCAGGAAAGCATATCGTCATAAAGTGCTGATTTACCTGAAACTATATTTGCAGAACCAGTTTTTTCCTGCTGCTGTATTTAGGATTTTTATGTTTTAAATTTCCTGTTCTATTCTAACGTAGATTCATCCTCAAAGTCCCATTAACAAACAATTACAGGGTGTATAAGCTGAGTCTTGAGTCACAATGATGGATGGTGTAAAAGATCAAGCCACAACTAAATGTCATAAATATGTACAGTATGAATGACATGACCGACTGGATATTAAAAATACAGTCTGTAGAAGACATACATACAAACAGAAAGTTGTGACATCGCCAATATTTGACTTACACAAACAAGATGTGGAAATTTTAAACTTTGCATATTAACAGAGTCTGGACTTTACAGTGAGGAAGAAAGAGATGCAACTTTAATCATTTTTGTAATTGAACTCTCAACAGATCATTTCATGTTTGAGCTACACTGTGCAGAGTTTTTGACATTGCAACTAGTTTGGAAACCAATTTTAATCGATCTTTACTTTGTAATTGAACTCTTTTGAGTATTATTGAGTATTTTATGTATCCTAAAACATATCCTGAGGGGATCTGTAAAATACTGCACATGTAAATGCGAGTGAACATCACAATTTGATCTGCTTCCATGAGTTAGACGGGATTATTAACAGGGACAAGCTAAATCAAATCAGTTCAGGAGAGGAGAAAGACAAAAAGCACAAACATAACCATCAAACTATTATTAGCTGCCCAGCATTTCAGTGGTCAATTATAGCGTAAATAGAAAACTTTAAACCTTCACAAGGCAGCACTGACTTTCCTCCTGCGTCGTAATAGACTCATTTAAAGCTTCTTCCTGCATTTAAAAAAATGATGCATAAAGTGCTCCATCATGCTGTTCGTCTCCTACAGGAAATATTTTGTCTCAGACTTGAGTTTTCGAGTCACTGCTCTTCCTCGGGTTTATTCCATTTTTCCCATTAAAAGGTTAATTTGGGGAGTTTTTCCTTAGCCGAATCGAGGGTTTAAAGATAGAGGGTGTATGCTGTACAGACTGTAGCTATAACTGCCTCTTGAGGCAAATTTGTGATCGGGTTATATAAACGAAATTGAAAACTGAATTGGAGGAAAGCAGGTGAGTTTGTGGCACTGGACAGACCTGTTTTGTTTTTACCAGCACAGCATTTTCTTGAACAGTCAGTAGTATGGGTCACAGCCTATGGCAGATTTAAAGTGCCTTAATAAGAACAAATAAACAAAGAGATGATTTCAATGTAGGTAATTTATGTCACAATAGAAAACAATTCATTCAGTTGTTAAAGACTGAATACTAGATAATTGTCCTTGCAACATGTTTTTAATTTGATTATATACACAATACATATGACAATGTGTGTTGTATTTCACTTTGTTTTATTGTTTAATTTGATTTATTTCGACCTTTCAAATCTTCCGTACAGACAGTTTCAAAGGAGGTGATTCAGTCAGAGGGTGTGAATCACCTGTTCACCGGCTTTACTTTCCTTGTGATTTTGATAACCCCCCCCCCCCCCCCAGGTTTCTTCTTCTAAAAAGCCTCTGCTGGGAGTTTGGTAATAAGGTGCAGTCATTATAGACAGTGCACCTTTGCTAATATTTCATTTTCATTCAATTACAAGTCCGCTAGGTAATATGATTTTCATTTGTCTCCGTACTTCCTGTTGCTCCATTTAGCCATTCGGTGAGATCAGAGCGCTGTCCTCCAAGATTATTACCTCATTTGTCCATGTGTTTATCTGTTTATGTGTCGCTGCGCTCGGATTGTACACAGCAATAATATGAATGTATTTATAGTTCTTGTTATTGTTGCTGAGTGTGCTAACGGTATTCTGGTGACAGTGCAGGATGTGCTCTGTCACTACTCAGCAGTTAAATTCAATGTGGCATGAATGTGCCATAGCATCACAAGCATCACAGTAAACACAGTGACATTTTGTGAGGATGTTGACCATTCTGGATGTCATAAAGTTTATGGCAGAGAGAGAAATACCAAAACAAGCTGAGCCAGTTAGCTTAGCTTTGTATTATGACTGGAAACAGGGAAAAACAGCTAGCCTGCCTCTGTCCAAAGGTTCAAAAGTAAAGCTGACATGTTAAATCTCATTTGTCTAATTTGAATTAAAAAAAATCAAAGAATTCAAACGAACCATTGTGGTTTTCAATGTGGTGGTTAAGCTAAGCTAACTGGCTGCTGGCTACAGCTTCATACTTTTCACACTAAGCTAAGCTAAGAGGCTGCAGCTTGATATTTAATGAGAGTGGTAAGGACATGAATTAGCATACTCCTCAAACTGACAGTTTTTATTACTTGTCTATTGTTCAAATGTTTCAGAATAAGAGTTGCAGGTATGTTTGAATTTTATAAGGTATTTTACATTAACTTCCAAAAAATCTCAGCCAATCACAACTCAACACTGAAACTTAAACATGAAGGTCATGTTTTTTCTTTTTTTGATTTTCTGATCTGTGCAGGTGTCTCAGTAAGTGTTTCCACTTTCAACCTGGTGGCCATCTCCTTGGAGCGCTACAGTGCCATTTGCAACCCGCTGACCTCCAGAACATGGCAGACCAAATCCCACGCTGCCAAGGTCATCACTGCCACCTGGGTGGCTTCCTTCATCATGATGCTGCCCTACCCCATTTCTAGCACCCTTAAGCCTTTTACTCGTATGAACAACAGCACTGGGCACATGTGCCGCCTGGTGTGGCCCAACGACATCATCCAGCAGTCCTGGTGAGCTGAAAATAAGTGCATTAGGGAGTGTCGTACCTTCCCATCAGGGCGTGTTCACAGTGCGATGCACTCAGATTGTGTGGCAGTGAAAGTAGCCCGTTGCTAATTTCAGATGGCCCCTGTATTGATTTTCTCAGTCTGGTGCTGCTGGTGAGAGACGACCACTTGGGGAAATCTTCTGGCACAGATCTGACCCTTCAAAATAAAAGCACACAATGGTTAAATATTCTTGTATTGATTCAAAATATATACAATGAACGCTCGACTTACTTCCTAAGATTTGCACCTTGCAGGTATGTGTCTCTGTTGTTGCTGCTCTTCCTAATCCCTGGGATCGTCATGATGACAGCCTATGGACTCATCTCCGTGGAGCTCTACAGGGGCATCAAGTTTGAGCTGTCCAACAGGAAATCCAGTAGAGGTATGAAAATGAACTGGACTTAAATCTTTGGAAATAAATACTTTTAAGAAACAGGCTGAGTAATTTCCTGAAACTGCTGGGAACTGTACTTTTTAGCAGATGTGAGTCAGGTGTAAGTGGTGCTTTTGGTGGGGACTAGTTTCAGCTGTGGATTAATACGCATTTGATGCCACATCATTTCTGGCAGGACAGTGTGTGTGAGATGGATTCAAAATAAACTACTGTGCCAATGTTCATCATAATGAAGGAACATGTCACCTAGAGCAACATCGTGACTCAAAAAATAGGAATAAGTCACCTTTGGTTTTGGTCTTTTTATTGGATTTTTGGCAATATAACAAAAATATAAAATATCACCAGACTTATCCTTTAAGTTTGACTTATGATATCCAAAGTTTTTATTTTTCTATGTTTTGAGTGAGACATCACCACAGCTATTAAAGTCACGGCGGTTTTATGCTGCTGATGAAATTACATCTAACTCTCCAGTCTTTTTCATTTTCTCTACCCTGGCAGAGAGACAATGCAGCACTGGCAGCATCAAGCCCGGTGACAGTGACGGCTGTTACGTGCAGCCGTCTAAAAAGAAGAGCATCACCATGAGTACAGGCAACTGTCCCAGCTCCAGCAGCAAGCCCATGGTGGGCCGTGTGTGCAGCAGCAGCTCTACAGCCAACCTGATGGCCAAGAAGCGTGTGATCCGCATGCTCCTGGTCATCGTCTTCCTCTTCTTCCTGTGCTGGACTCCCATCTTTGTGGTCAACGCGTGGCAGGCTTTCGACCGGCGCTCGGCCCACCGCCTGACCGGCGCGCCCATCTCCTTCATCCACCTACTGTCCTACACCTCGGCCTGCGTCAACCCCATCATTTACTGTTTCATGAACAAGCGTTTCCGCCAGGGCATGCTGGCCACCTTCAGCTGCTGCAGCTGCTTCAGGGGGAGCAGTGGAGGAAGTGGCGGCTTAGGGAGGTCAGCTGGAAGCGGAACGGCTAAAGGGGAGGCGGGCAGATCAAGAGCGGGGCCCAAGACCACTGAGCAGAATGGTCATACCCCGCCAAGTGGAGCCAGCACACGCTTCACCTACACCGGCATCCGCACATCAGCTTGGAGTGAGCTGACTTAAAGTGGCCTGATCCTGTACGTCTGTATGTGAGAGCACAAGCCTGAGTGCAAACACTTGTAAGGAATCTGTGGTGTGTTGATTTAACATAAAGCCCTCGCTGTGCTTATAGTTTATGAGCGGCTATGTTGCTTTAGCTTGGAGTGTGACATGACGTGGGGCTCAGTGGTTAATGACCGTGGAGCTGAAGTGTACATTCAGTGCTGTCACAGCAGATCAACAGCGCCAGATGTTTCCCTAAAGCCTGCAGTGTCCGGCGTGGCTGACTGATGCCTGATCATATAAAGCCCTGAAGGGCCACAAGTCTGACATGGAGAGGAAGTGTTTTCATGAAGCAGAATAACAATTGATGTAGGTTACCGTTCTGCTCATACTCTGTTTAAACACATTGTAATTGTACCTCCAGTGCAGCCATACAGGGACGCAGCAGTCTCTCCACTCGTTCCAATCAGTGCCAGACGGTTCAGCCTGTGCAAATCAAAGAAAGAAAAGAAAGAAAAAAAAAAAACTGGTCACAACAAGGCTGTTTCTGGAAAGACTCATTGTCGTTATCTCAAAAGGCAGATATCTCAGAACATGGGCAAATATAAACATAGATATCTGCATCGGAGCGACAAAGCTAAACGGAAATTAGAAAATATACTCTATTATTATTATTATTATTATTATTTTATTATTATTATTATTATTATTATTATATAATATTTGTTTTACTGTTTGGATTTCAGTTGAACGGACCCTTAAAGATTAGGCTACATACCAATATCGTGCTTCAAGGAAAACGCTTGACCCAGATGATATTCTTAAAGGGGTCACGCCGGTTACCAAAGCAGTGTCACCTCAAGGGCCATTTTAGGGCCTCGTTCTGCAGTTTTTCAGTCATATCACATCATCATAATCAGCAGATGAAGTTTGTCCAGTTGTCACGGCTCAAGCATGAACTTTCATTTTGGCACTTTCAGCAGCAGCTGCCTGTCTCGCTGCAACGTAACCGTCCTCAAAACAGTCCCCCCGGGGCACAAACAGTTCTGTCTCATCCTTGACCAACTGTTTGTGTGTCTGTGTGCCTAAAGGGGGGGGGGTTGTACTGTGTGTGCTAACTGGAGAGGCCTTATCATGTTGTGGGACCTTAACCACCTGTAACCTCCCTTCTTCAAAGAGTGAATTCCCGGCATTACCCACCTGATTTCCACTGATTCATACTGTTAAATATAGCAGCGTCAATGTAGCAACTTGTTCCTGTTTTGTTTCTTCGTATCTGTATGTTGCATTGTTACTATGACCTGAATATTGTTCTGTAAATTCTTACTTTTAGGTTTTCTGTTTGATTGCATGATATTGTGTGTATTTTGACTCGTGGGCACATAATTGAATGTAAAAACATAATCCCAGCGAGTTTACTGGTTTCTTATGTACATCTAAAAGCGCTACTGGGAATTGTATTGTGTTCTCTTACAAACCTACAATGCATCTATGAGTAACCAATGTCTGGTTGACCATATAAAGACCTCGAATGCCCACTGTGCAACTGCGTCTACAAAGACTTGCGGCAGAGCAACTTGGAGCTTTTAACGGCTTTAATAAAAGTGGATCTGAAGGACAGAAGGCATTAGAGCCAAGACAAGTGGTGGAAAGACAGAAGGGAGGGGGATCTGCTGGGACTTCTTCCCAAGGATAAGAGCTCCATTTGGGCTTGGTAGATGCCCTAAAGCCCCACCTGCCTTCACCCTGCAGCCCCTGGGAGATGTTTACCTGAAGGAGGAAAGGATGACTATGGCTGAACAGGTTATTCATTTTCAGTGTGTAAAAAAAACAACAACGTGCTTCAGCTTCTGATGACAATTAAAAACATACACAAACGGATTCTATATCACTTTTTTATTTCTTATTTTTATGCCAATATTGCAAGTTTTTTTCACGTTTTTTTTTCTTCTTTTAATGACATACAGATTTGAGCATGATCTGGAGCTGCAATATGTACAAAAACAAACTAACGTATGTTATCAAAAAACCGTCCCCTTTGTTTTGACGTTATTGCTAAATGTTACAAACGGCACAGGTTTCTACCATCAGCAACCCTTTGAGCACTGAGTATACTACCACAATGACACCTCTGCTTACCATTTACTAGAATAATACACAGATACAGTGAGAGTGAAAGATAGTGAAAAGGACATGAAGAAGAAGAGGAAGAAGAGGAGGAGGAGGATGGGTTGGTGGGTGGGGGATGACAACAAAAAAAAGGGAGCTGACTGTAGCAAAGCTAAGCACAACAGGCTGCATGTTAAAAACAACAAAAAAAAAAAGGAAGGGGAGGGGTGTGTGAGAAAACTCCAAATGTACATACAGAAACATGAACGATAAAGAGTGAGGATGAAATGTGTGAGAGAAAAAGAAAGGTTAGCGCTCTGTAGTGCAAACAGCCAAATAGTCTTAAGGAGAAGTAAGGCTGAGTGCGACAGAGAAGGGCTCCACACTCCTTTTTTTTTTTTTATTTGTTTAAAGCTGCCTCTCACTCTGCCCCGTTTTGTTTAGCAGTGCATGAAAACTACATTATAAAAGACATTTGGCATATTAGAGGATACATACATTGTTCAGAGCTCATTATAAAAAAAAAAAAAAAAAAAAAAGAAGAAGATGAACAGCTGCTTTTGGAAGAGTAAAACAATTACGACCAGACACACAAAGAGAAAGAAAACCGGTTAAGATATTTTGTAAAAGCATCGCAAATGCTAATGAGATGGCATTTTTTTCCCTCTCTCTGAAAGCTTTGTCGCCAGGTTAATACAGCGTGCGGTTAAGAAGGCATGTAACATTTTTTTTGACCCTTTTGACAGTTCATCCCCTTTATGAGTACGGGATGTTATCAAGTTATACTGTATCCTCCCAATCTCTTAAAACTCCAGATGTTTTAAGAGGAAAATAAACTGTAAACCAGCTCGGATTGTCAAGGCGACACATTTTTTTTTTTTTTTTTTAAAAAGCATGCATCACCCCCCCTTTATTAGCTTGAGTAAATGTGACAAAGCTGCTCTGCTCAGACTCGCATGAGGAGATGAAGAGGAGCCAGGGGTTGTTTAGCCTAAAAGAGGCGACTCAACATGTAAACAAAAACCCAAAAATAACCAAGCTCGAGGGGGCAGGGGAAGGTTGGGGGGTTGGGGTGATGCTAATGCAGAGGCTATGTTAAAAACTCGCTGAATTTAGAGCTAGTAGACATAGAAAAAACACTCAAGTTAAAAATCTACAGTTAAGATTTTGTGACCTCCATCCTGCAGAGTAAAGGGTTCAGGTCGGCCTGCAGCTCGTCACGAGTCACGAGTTCAGTGTGAAGAAGCGCAAAATGTTCGGTTTTGATGCTACACTACCGCTGCAGCACCAACTCCTCCACGATTCCAGAACAGACAGGAAGTGGCCTCTTTATAAAAAAAAAAAAAAAAAAAAAATACACTCCCAGGCCAACATAGGCAGCAAGGGCAATAATGCACTTTTCTTTTTCTTTTTTGACATAATACAAGGGGAGACTTTGTACCAATAATTTAAAAAATATCAATATTACAATATAAAATATTTAACATTAATGACGGACACACGTGCGAAACCCCCCCCCACCCCGCCAGTTATACGGTCACCCACACCGGTGGCCATGGGGTAGCCCGGGCGGCGAGCCGCACGGGCGGGCTAACTAATTTTTTTCTTCTTTTTTTTTTTTTTTTTTTTTACATTGTAGGGGGTGCAAGCGAATCCTTTTTTGTTCCTATTTCAAGGTTTTGTTTGTAAGAAAATTCTGAAATACTTCATTAAGCAGACATTCAAGTTACAGTATCGTTGTTCTTATTCCCGGAAGCGTATACAGTTGTACTGTAATACTAAGATCACAAGTATTGCCTCTGAATGTTTATCCACAATTATCAGACATTTGGATTCCGGTGGAAGACAGAAAAAAAACCCAATGAATCTCAAGTTTTCTTTCTTTTTCTTTTTTTTTTTTTGGAGGGCGGGTTTGAAATGGAGCGAGTCTGACTCAATATTCCATTACAGCAACTACATACGACAGTCTCACTCACTCTCACACACACACACACACACATACACACACACACACGCGCGCGCACACATATTTGCTGGCTGGTGAACTAGTGCTCAGGCGGACAAAAACAATGAAATGACCTGTACAATATTGCTGTTATGTTTGGAAATGCACATCTTCAATAATACACATTTAGAAGGCCTTTACGCGGTCGCCATGAACACAGATGAGTGCAACTACTCGGACAGTGAGTTTACAATGTACACACGCTTGTTTCTGCGAAAACAATAAACCACACAAGATTTTTTTTTTTTTTTAAAAAAGAAGGCTGGAAGGAGCTTACAGCGCTCGTGAGACATTGTACCAAAAGTGAGAAGGGTGCCGGGCACCGCATGAGAATAAAAAATTGGGTTATTGTACTTGTACACCACAAAAATGAAGGCTGAGAGATCCTTCAGAAGGCTGCTTTGCTTTGCACGACAAGGTGGTTCTGGAGCCGCAGCAATGAGCTCAAAACAGCAGAGCTCCTGTGATAAGAAGCGAGGCATTAGCTTGTTTTTGTGCTACGCACAGGTTCTTCCAAGGTGAGTAAACAGCAGATAAGAGAAAAGGTGAAGAATTTTTTTTTTTTTTTTTTGTTTTGTAACTGAAGTTATCAGTAAGGCCACATTAAATTGAAAAGTGTCCGTCTTTTTGGAAAACCACTGGAGTTTAAATGCCACCAGAACTACAGCACACACTGGAAGACACCTTGCTACGTGCAGTTTGAAGAGACAAGTTTCACTACGTTATCTGATACGTTAACAGTGACCAATAGAGCGACAGGTACAGGATATTAGATATGTGACTGGTTTGACTGTGTACACAGTAAGAATATACAGTACTAAGGCTATCCTTTTAAGTCAATGACTACGCTTATTACATTAGTTTGAAAATGACAAACCGACTTGTTTTCGTAACCATGGAAGTCTAGTCTTTTTGATGTATTCTGCAAACATTGCTATGGCTCCATGTGAGATGTACTGATGTGTATATTTTCCAAAGGAGACATAGCGCACATAGAGTATTGCAGGCAAGGCAGAGGCGTTGCTTAAAGCTTTTCTTTTTAAAGACTTCATAAAAACCAATGATAAAAAATAGGCCCTCTGAGGTTATTCCCCAATTTAAAAAAAAAAGAAAAAAAGAAAAAAAAAAAGAGAAAAAAAACAACCTTCGCTTGTGTAAATAAACCCAGACTTCAGATTTTCCCCAACAGAAAAAGTGAGAGTATCAAAACAAAAGTTCAATCCAAAGACTGAAAAAGCAGGCGTTTGTAGTAAGGTTGCAATAACATACAGGTTGGGATTTTGGACCTCAAAGGGGGAAAACAAAGCCCAAGCTCAGAGGAAGAATAGAAACTATTTGGTAACAAAAGTGTACTATATGTTTAATACAAAAAAGGTATGGAGAAAAATGTACCTTTACTAAAGCTTATACAAGATCCTTGGTCCATAAAAACTATGTTATCGTCACGTTTTATGTGTGTCCCTCTGCATCCTTGCGCTCCCTCCAACAACAATACATCCAGCCCCCTTTAGGAAACCACAAATTAATGCACAATAACACAAACACAAAAGGAATAATCATAAAACAAGTGGCGGGAGGAAATGAAGGGGGAGGGGGAGGAGCAGGGCAGCGCAAAAAATATACTTTCCTTTCGAGACAATTTTTTTTGTTTTTTTTTTTGTACACGGTGGATGTATTGTTGTTGTGGTTTCCATTCTCACAGCCGTAGAAAGGTGCTGGTGCTCTGAGCCTGCAGGAACTTCACTCATTCCAAACACCAGAACTGGATAGGCAGGTCCCTAAAGTAACCACAGGAGAGGGGGCGTGTCAAGGAGCACTTTCGCTTATTCCCGTTGGCGGACAACGTTGTGATGTCACTCCTTCAGATTTCCCCTGCGTTTGCTCCTTTGTCCCACCGATTTTTTCCATTTCAGCTTCTTTGTATCCAAAATTAATACGCAGCACTTTAGAGTGAGTCAGTTTTTGTTTATTATTTCCCATAGTCTTTATATACCTTCTGGTATATTTGCTCTCAAGGCATATTGTAATGAGTGGCCCCCTGTGTGCGTTAGGAGACCACAGCTGCGGCGGTGGAGGATGAGGATGTGACTCCTGCGTTGGAGGTGCTGTTGGGGCCGTAGACGCCGGAGCCGGCCTCCTGGCTGTTGCTGCTCAGCAGGCTGGAGTTTCCGGCCCGCAGGATGGCTCCGGCGGCGCTGCAGTGTGGCCGCGGCCCTGGCTCCGGCGTGTAGGTGAAGGTCAGTGTGGTGGAGTAGATGATGCCGTCATTCCTCACCAGCGTGACGGGCACCTGGACGGGCTGCCGCACCCAGCGCCAGCCCTCACGGAAGGCGGAGATATCGGGCACCACGCACAGCATGCTCTCCGCACACCTGTGCCGCGTTTGGTGAAGAAAGAAACAAGAGTGATGTCAGACTTTGAGAGAGTCGCTTTTGATATAAAATGAAAAACAAGCGTCACTGGCTTCCTTTTGTGTTCAACTTGAAGAATGAGTCTTCAATTATTTATAAAAGGTAAAGCTGCAATAAGTGATTTTTAAACAAATTAACATTATGGTGACAGTAAATTATCTGGAAAATAAATGGAGAAATGGTTTATTCATAAAAGAACTAGATAGTGAAGTCTGATTTAGGTTAATCCAGCATTTGAAATATATTCTAACATCAAAATAAAAAAGTTCAGATTTATCCCGAAGCAAAACAGGGAATTATTTTGTATAAGTGAAGTGCTGGCCACCCTGGTTGTCTAAGGATTAAGGCATTAACCATAAACTGTAACGCCACCATGGTGCCCGTTAATGCTCCTACTTTGTGTAGGGCTGGGGGGGGGGGTCTTTGTTGCAAGTCATTCCCGATTCCTCTCCGTCTCATTTCATCTCTACACCGTCAGCGAGGCCAACAAAAACAACAACATGAAATATGTCGCATAAGTCTACACATGCGTCGGCCAGAACATCTCTGTAGGTCCCAGTGTTTCACTGTCATTGGTCACTGTGGTGTCCTCCCTTCATGTCCTCCCCTCCATGTCTCTGACTTACTGCTTGGTGGGTGGTACTGATAAACACATAAAACTTAATTCGGCTATAAAACTCAGCATGACAGAGGAAAAACCAAGATAATGACATTTTACAAGTGAAACACTGAAGTATTTTAGCTCTTAAAAAAGTTTTTGACTCACTCAAAAACATTGAAGACGAGAAGGAGAATGAGGATTATACATTTCGACTTATATGATTAAGCACCAGCTACATCATTAACGCTGAGATGAGTATTTATTACATGCATTAGGGCGGCTGTGCCCATTACGCATTCACAGCGTCTACAGCATTAAGTCTGCAAGGCATTTTGAAAGCTTTGGATTACAATAAGTTATTCACATTTCCATTATATTCCTTAAACCTAAAGCCCATTGCTCTCTATGCCTGTAAGATGTAATAAATCCTCATTTTAGTTGTAATGGATAATTTGTATGGTAATGGGGGAAAAAAGGAATTTTCTTATTTATATTATTTTGCGCAAGAAATGGTAAAAGAAAAGTCCTTCCAGTACCCTGGTAAATCACTTTGAGCATTAAACGCAGGAGAGAGGGTGGACAGAAATACAACACACCGCAATTAAATGACCTGAGTCGTAGATACCCCGTAGGAAACATGAAACAGGAGGAAAGACGCACCTGTACATGGTCTCAGCCTCGACGTCGCCAAACCAGACCCGAAGATTTGGAGTGAAGTTCTGTCCTGTCAGCTCCAACATGGCGACATCCCCTCCACCGTTTAGCTGCGCACAAAGAAGACAATTTGTAGGAAACGTGCTGATAGAAAACACACATACAGATACAGACTGGACAACGAAAGTAAAACAAAGGGTTAAGTCTGCTGTTGTTGGGTTGTGTATCCTAACACCTCTCTCTGTGTGTACCTGTAAGCTCTCTACCACAGGCACGGGGGTGACAGGCGAGTGGACAGGGCCCATGCCCTCGTAGAAAGTGTATTCGGCCTTGTCTGTGCTGATGATTGTCCAGGAGGCGCCGTCGTTGATCATCTCCTTGTTTGGTTCCTTTGGGCATGGAGTGGCCTAGCAGAAGAGGGGAAATGATTACATATGACCTACATTGCACATGAGGGGCCGAGATAACCACCAACAATTGCACCACAATCATGACTACTTTTCTCAGGACTGCAATCAAGTGTCACTCTTTTGACTTTACAGCGGTCTAAATAAGTAAAGAAAAAACGCTGGAGGAGAGTGGACCACACACTGTTCAAAGAAAAGAAAAAATGGCTCACTATCTTAAAATATCCGCATACAGAATAATAAAGACAAAGGATAAATGAAGGAATTGAGCTCAAATTCACTTTCACAGAGATCACTGTCTACTTCAGCATGCTGAAGCAATCATCTTCAATCATCTGTCTGAGATTGACTCGATCTGAGGAAGTAATGACCTCGACCCCGAATTGAGCAAAAGAGATGGCAGATGTGAGAGTGTGTAGAGTGTGTGTGGGTGAGACACTGACTTGAAACTGGATGATCCTTTCTTGGGAAAGGCACAGGTACATGCGTTCTGTGTCCTTCAGGTAGAAGGCACACTTGTGGAGCTGAGAGACGGGGTCGTCTGCGTCCAGCAACGCCGTCTGCTTGTCCACCTTGCGGATGATCTGAAAGGGAAAGAGCAATAAATCAGCTATTAGCGAAGGTAGATGGAGGAACGGAAAGAGTGTGTAGGGGAGTATGAAAAAAAACAGGCAAGAGGAAGGACAGGGGGAAGTTAAGGACAAGTGTACAAGACAAGGAAGAAATCGAAGGAAGAGAAAAAAGAAAGTCACATTAGTTGGAAGGAAAGGAGGGAATGAAGACAAGACAGAAAGGAAAGATGAAAACTGAATAGTTGCTTTATCAAATCTCTAACAACTAATGACTAAAATAAATGGAAACAGCAAATGGACTAAAATGATAAATGGAAATGAGGAACTTTCTCTGGATAAACAAAAAGGTCTTTATGTTACCTTTTGTTAAAGGAATAGCTCAACATTTTCAGAAATACGCTTACACACTTTACATAAAGACAGGAGACAGAGGTCCAGCACCTCTGCAATCACAAATTATACAAGTTATATCCTGTTTGTTTCATCCTTAAAGAAACAAACGTGTAGGAATGACAAGTTGCAGGTTTTCCAGGGACTGCACATACTATATTTTCTAACTGTCAAACTATTCCTTTAAATACTCCTTATTTACAATGTTTTTTTTAGCTTTATCTTATTCCTTTAGTAATCTTTCTATTTCTTGTAGATCTGTGTAATGCCAAACGGCGCGTTTGGTTTACCAGTCTGGGCAGGGCCATGCCGGTGACAGAGCAAACCAGCTTGACCGTCTGGCCGTAGTGGATGTAACCGTCTCTCACAGTGAACTCTTCTCCTTCTGACTCCTCGTCATCCACTGGAGACACACGATGCAGGAGAGAAGAAGTCAGTGCTGCAGCGAGCCGCCCAACAACTGTTTCCCATACACTCAAACCCACATTCAGTCAATCAATCACTCTCTTTGTCTGTGATGAATCAGCTGTGTAATTACTACGTACAGCCGGGATTTATATTTACATTAAACAGAGACAGAGAGAGACGTGAAGTTGACAAGCTGTCATCAGATTGTCAACACTTTACTCATGTTGAACCTCTTTAATGATTTGAAGCCTCTCTAAATACATTCAATCATTTTCTTTTCTTTTTTGTTTAGTGTTTGTGCTTATGGATAAAACTTACACAGGTGGATGTAGAAGGCGCCCCACTGCTGGGAACTGGCGTGAAAGTTGCCGCCCTCCACGTGTAAATAGCGCGTGCTGACCGTTTGGGACCGCAGCCGGTTGAACAGTGCCACTTTGGTCCCTGATGCAATGCACACTGTGGACAAACATGAACGAGACACTGACAGATTTACATAATGACCCAAACATGGCTGACATGCTGCTTGCAGGTCAGCTGTGTTAGCACTGTGATAACAGGTGAGAAATTAGAGGTGACGGGCGCAGTACATGTGTACTACATGTGAACTAACAGACACTCAAATGCAGCTACACTGCCCTCTAGTGGCTGGAAATAATACTACTACTAATCTGTTTATCCAGCACCTTTCAAAGAAAAAGAGTTGGTGTCCATTTAAAATACTAACAAAACTAGAAAAAAGACAGACTCTAATACAAGAATATAAGATTAAAAAAAATAAGTGAAATAAGTGAATACATCAGCAATATCCAAAAACTTTCTGACTGAAATTCAAATTAAGATTATAAATATAAGATCCGATTAGATTTTTATAAAACTTTTGTGCTTTTATACCGTTTATATCCATTCTTAACAGTTTTCTGTTCACATTTTTTCCCCTCTTTTAATCCTTTGCTCTTTCCATGTTGGTTTTCCTTTAGGATAAGGTGTCTGCGTTGGGATGTGTTTCAAAACTATGTCGCCATTTTGGCCGGGGCTCTCTCTGAAAGAGACTCCGCTCTCCAGGACTTGCAGTATGAGTCTAAAACAAGGTGATAAAAATGTGTGGGAAAACAAACTCACAGTCAGCGTTTTTGAGGGACTGTTTCTTTTTGGAGGGCTTGGAGATGACTTTGATCCTCTTGCTGAGGAAGACACCGATATCAGCGCTGTTGCCGTAGAACATCTTGACGGACAACATGAAGTGCTTTCTCTTGTCGGAGTCGGATATGTACAAGGTTTTGGCTGTGCAATAATTCTGGGAGGACATGACAGAGAAAAAGCAAAACAGAGATATATGATGAGAGTCAAAAAATAGCAGCTTTTTAAACATGTTACATGTTTGTCACCATTGACAGAAAATAGCTGGAATTATTAACTTTGAAACACACTGCAGGCATATGAGAGACTTCCTGTATTATTAGCGTAAAGTGCCTGGAGGCAGGGTGTGTAGCTAGTAAGTTTCTGTGTGAAGGAAGGTAAATAAAAGGAGTGAAAGTGAGTGTGTGTGTGTGTGTGTGTGTGTGTGTGTGTGTGTTGTACCTTTCCCTCTAAGTTAAGCTGTTGCATTTCTTGGTCGCTGTTGCCGATGCCGATGAAGGCACAAGGCTGCGACTCCTGCTCGGAGCAGCCGTCTCGCTCCATCTGTTCCTTCTTTTTCTTCCATCCGCTGCCCATCAGGTAAACGCAGGGGGGAGGGCAGAAGAACCTGGACACAGGGTCAGATATTCAAATCCCTGAAAGCCACACTCTTTACCTTCAGTAATAATGAGGCGAGCAGTTTTATGTATTTTGAGTAGAGCCACCTGAGTAGCTAAGTAGGTGCCACATGAGATACCAAATGTTTGTGACCTCATTTGCTCCTGTATATAACCTTTCAGCCATTACTGTAAATATAAGTATGTTTTTAATCCACTTGCCTGGTTGAAAAAGAAAAAGAAAAACATCTGCATGACAGGCAAACATGCTCAGAAGGTTTTGGGATAAAATACATTATTTGTTATCTAACTAGAAAATCAAATTCTTGGTCAGTAATGGAGGAGAGAGGACAAAACCACTGTATTTGACGAATACAAAAAACAGGCTTAACACCTCTTTAAATAGCACAGACTGAACAACTTGCATCTCGTCATTTACACCAGAAGAGGGCAGAGCTGTTCCAAGCTTCAACAAGAGCCAGACACTTTTATCCACTTACTGTTCATTACAATTCAACTAAACCCTCTTTCCTCAAGCTGTCGTGCCTAATTTAACAGATGTCACCGTGATCAGTCCAGCGTGGAAATGATACGCTGAGAAATATAAACTAGCACTTCAAAAGGAAAGGCAACTTTTTTATTTCCATTTAACAATGACTCTCCCTCTCCCTTGAAATGCTTCTGTCTCTAATGTCAAGACAAGAACTCCAGAAAGAGAAATGACAACTTCAGTCTTGTTAAAAGTGAAAATCAACTCATCAGTGAACCAGTGCACTTCAAATAAATCGATGTGCGTCAGTGTGGAACTGGAAAGCGACCCATTTCGCAACACTAGTGTCTGTCTCTGTGGGTGTTTGTCTACTTTCACCTCCTATAAACAGCACAGACAGAACAAGGCAGCTACAAAAAAAAAAAAAAGAAAAGAAAAAAAAAAAAAGGGAGGGAGATGGCACATTTGCATTCTTCATGCGCCCACTTTCTTGGGCTCTGCTGTTATTATAAGACTGAAGTAATCAAAGGTGCGAGACAGACACAGGCACAGGCACAGGCACACACACACAGGCACACACACACAGGCGCACACACACACAGGCACACACACACGCGAACTCTGCGGGGGTTTTACAGGCCAAAGGATGTTGAAACACTAACACGCTCGCAGAAATCCCTTTGGGACTTGCTCAGCAGTCTCATTCTGACACTTGTCTGTGGTGCGGCTGGATGGTCTGTTGGCTACAGATACTTACCTAAATTTAAGCCCTGCATTGGCATGTCATTGAGCAACTCACAAACCGGCGACACTGAGAGCTGATCCTGTATAAGTACGCGTATGTGACTTGAGTGTTTGAATGGGCTCCCTCTCACCGCTGTCACTTTAACTGCACAAGACAGCTAAAAAATTATCTGCGGAATTCGTATCAGTCTCAGCCTCTCTCCCCTCCGTCTTTCTTCTCCCGTTCTGCTCCAAGTCTCTGAGGTGTCTGTGAGTTGGCTTGCAACAGCTGATTTACCAAGAGACGGGCCCTGATGAGATCGCAAGCAGCGCTGCGGCTCGGCCAAGAAAACACAGAGCAGAAGAGAGTTGCAAAATGAGCAAGAGGTGGGGGGGTGTGTGTGTGTGTGTGTGTGTGTGTGTGTGTGGGGGGGGGGGGGCTATAAAAAGTTTGGTGAGAGGTAGAAAGGTGAGAGCAGAGTTACAGGAAGGGGTTTGAGGAAGAAAAGACGAGTGACAGGGTTCAAGAGAGCAGAAGAGAGAGATGGAGGAAAAGAGAAGAGGTTGCGACAGCCAGTGATAACCCTTTACTCATCTTTGAACTGTAGAACCTGTTATAGCCATCGCATGGAAATTGCAGCAAAGCAAGACAACAGGTTCAGTTCAGAGACCTGTATCCTCTCGTCCTTCAACCTGTACAACTAAATTCTCCATGGTTTCACCAGGACTTTGCCCCTGGAGCCATTTATCTCCCGTATTGCCATCGCTCCTATTTCCCCGCTCCCTGCGGCCTTCACCTGAACCTGGCCTCATACACGAGGGTCGCCGCTCGTTTCCTCCTCTTACCTCTTATGATATGGGAGGTCAGAAGGGTCAAGATACCTACACTGGAATGTGTGTTTTTCATTGACTCACTAACCTGACCATAAATCCTTGCAATGAATGAGTCAACTTCTCAAAGGTGAAGGAAGACGAGGGCAAACTTATTAAACGTCGTATCGTATCAACATTTTATTACGTGTGATGTTGAACTTCTACTTTGGTTAAAACAACAAAGAATCCTAATCGGAGTGAGACACGACAATGGTCAAAATTAGATTATAAAAAGCCTCATTTTATTTTACCTTAAAGGAATAGAATAATAGGAACATTTTGAGAGTTAAATGGGAAAAGCTAATTTTCATCTGCAGTCCCTGCGGCAGAGCACAATCAAAAGATATGCACAGCGACAGAGCTGCACTTAATACACACAGTAGTACATCACACACCCTCCATGTCAAAGTATGTGCATCTGGTTAGTTTAGCTTAGCGTTATGACTGTAAAACAGGTGGAAACTACCAGCCTGCTCCGGGCCAAGAACAAGTCAGGCACATAACAACAATTTGTTTTTAGACTTTGAAAATGTATCAAATTTGTTTAATTTGCACAAAAAAATCAGTTATGCTAAGCTAAGCTAACCAGCTGCAGTCTATTTACCCCACAGAAATGAGTGGTATCAATCTCCTTCTCAAACTCTCAGCAAGACAGCAAATATTTTATTTCCCAAAATGATGAGCTATTCCTTTAAGACCAATAAGAAATCAGTCTGTGCAGTGTTCATCTCAGATGGGACAGTGATCCAGAGAGTTCAGATACTTGTAAAACTGTGCGATTTCCCATCTATGAACCTCCAAGGATTAGCAGAGTCTGGAGAAACCTTGATAAATGGAGCTGCTGTTTATATTCAACTCACCTTTTCTCATTGCCATAGGATTTCTGTGCAACTTTCGCGTGCAGGATCATGACAGTTTGGTCGCCTCGCTCCTTCAGGTAATTCCTCATCGCTTCTCTGCGAGATGGTAAAAGGGGAGACAGAAAGAGAGAGAGAGACAGAGGTTCATTAACAGGTCACTTTGTTATCCAGCAGATGAGGTGAAGTGACACTGGGTGTGTGTTGAAACCTCTGGGGTCGGATCGTCCTGACGGTTTTTAAAAGGCAACACTTCAGTGTAGATGGATAAAAAATAAAGAAAAGTGTTCAGTATGGAATGAGAACATTTAGAAACACACACACACACACACACACAGTACAGTCAGTTGCAATGACCTCTGGAAAGCCTCAGAGCTTGCATGTCCTGCTAGCCAAAAAGCTATGTTCTCCCCCAGCTGGGTCCATTTGAGGTGGGGGTGGGCTGAACCGTTAATGACCGGCTCATAGGGACAGTGAGAAGCAAGGGAAAGGAACACGAGGGAGAAGGGGAGAGACAGAGAGGCAGAGAAGGAGAAGGGGTTGGGAGAGGGAGGTAAAGAAAGAAAAAGAGAAAAGAAAACACCAGAGCTGAAAAAACAAAAACAACTGAGCTGAGCTCACCAGCAAAGATTCCTCATCTCGTGTCAAAATGTTGCAAGGTCCGCGCTCCAATTACTTCTGTCAACTCCGCCAAACCCTCCCGCCTCCCCTACAACTCCCCACCTCCTTTACACAAACAAGCCAAAATGTATTTTAATATTTTGGGAGAGCGGTGAAGATAACGCTGAGCTGAGAAGCACGGGGGTCAAAGATCAGGCTTTAGATGCACAATTAAGAGACATCACATGCGCGGACATTAACACAGTCCGACCGAGTCTGCGCACACGCACAGATGTCGGTGACACCTGACACGCCAGGGTGCTCAGAGGGCTTCCCACACACACTCTCACACACACACACACACACACACACAGCTTTCCACTCTGCCACGCAATACTGGTCCGCATGCTCGGGTTAGACAGGGCCTTTGTTATGAAAAGCAAGGGGCCCCTCACAGTGTGTGTGTCTGTGGGAGAGGGGGGGGGGGAGAGCACACAGAGGAGGGGGGGGTAGCTGAGAGGGTTTGCGGTTCATCCATTTCATAATGGACTGGGAAATGTTTTATTTCTCACTTCACTGTGTGATGAGACGATTATTTTTCTGAATATTAAGGTCTCAGAGCAACAGCAAATTATGCTCTGTTGTTTATTCAGTGTTTGCTACATTACTGACGGGCAGCAGCTGTAACTGAACATGATGGAGGTACGATCCTCGAATTCCAAACATTTGAGGCCATTTAACTGATCCGATGCAATCTGATACCATCTAACCACCACATGGAGAAAATTATATCAAGCCAGGGAAAGGGGTGAAAGCAACTTCAGCCAAATTCGTTTAAAAGCAGCGGTTTGATGAAAACATTTCTGATATATTTGATGGATGCTTAATTCACTTGTTTTTCTTTTGTTTACAGTAATTGACATAACCTTTCTCTGGGGCTTAAGTGAACAACACACACACACACACACACACACACACACACACACACACACACTAAGCCAAGGGAAACTCCTGAGCTGATTGCTCTCATTGATTAAATTGAGAACACACAGTGCAAACCTGCTGATGGCAGGCCAGCAGGGCATCTCTGACGGTGCCTGTGACCTGCTGGTCTTACAGGTGATATCACAGATAAAGTAACATCCAGCACGCACGCACACACACACACACACGCAAGCTTTCTTATTCATGATCAGTATCCGTATATTCATATTAGCATTGACAAAAAAAAAGTTAATCAGCAACTACTGTGATCATCTTTCCCACATCTCCGTCATATGAGAAAGCAACAGTTGGGATACAGACAGGAAACATGTAGAAACAGAGGTATGATGATCAATTAAGGCCCCTGGCATCAACCAAACTGGGGATATTATGGTTGTTTGGTGTACATCTTAACCAATGTGAAAAATGTTACATAGCCCCAGATTCCCAGTTATGAGAATTCGATGCTTTTCTTTGACTTATGTGACAGTAAGCTGAACATCTTTGGGTTTCAGACAGCTGATCGAGCAAAACAAGCACGAAATGAAATGAAGACAGTGAGTGGAGGGTTAACCAATAATGAGAATAATTGCTGTTGTAATTCATATCAATGGTATATTTCCAAAATCAGGATTTTATATATATATATATATATATATCCCATTTACCACCAAGTAACTAAACTGCTGCTGCTGTGAAAAAAACACTTTTGCTAACATTCCCATTTCAACACCATCTTGCAAACGTTGTTCACATTCGCCAATTCCCCCCAAAGAAGTTGAAAGATGAATCAGCCACACGCCACTGGCTTCATGAACGATGTTGTTTTACATTCAGATGAAAAACCACAAGTAAATATTCAAATACATTTCCTCACAGTTCCTTTATGACACCAGAATCTATCGTGTCACAAGGTTATGTGCGACAGCTTGTGGTTAACACTGTCACAGAGCTCAGCAAAACCGTCCCACTGCCGCTGAGTCGGGGAAAGACCATTCCCTCTCACGACAGACGTGCATCACTCACAGGGGTTCTGATAGTCACCACAGTTCACTAAAAGAACCTCTGAGAAGATAACCAAGATGCCCCCAACATGTGGCAATAATCAAATGGCCTGTGATCCAATGAATAACATAACCCCAGTGGTGGGTCCTTCTTTACAAATGTGTGTTGTGCAGCCAAGCATTGTTCAAACCCACAGGATTGTATTTTAAATTCTAGTGGGGAACCCAAGGTTTACAAAGATACCAAATATGTCCGGCTGCATTTTGGGGAAATGTGTATAACATGATGCACAAGACATGTAAAATCTTTCCATCTGATGCGGCCCTAAAAATCATGGCTATTGGGGTTTGAATATTTAATAAGTGTAAAAATAAAAGTAAATATTTGATGAAGTAGACACAGTATTTAGGTGCGACATGTCATACAGTGGGGATTTTATTTTTTTTCCCAACAGATCTAAGAGCGATGGGGAGAATCAGGGAGAAATCAAGATTTCAAGAGATTAAAAACATATGCAAAACAGGGGGAAAACAATTACCCAAACATGACTTAATGGCAATGACACACCCAATGACACCCATAATAATAGCAGGGATCAGAGACGGGTATAACAGGGGCGTCTGACTAATCACTCATCTCTTACACAAACTGAAACACAGGAACACGCACACTCTCAGATAGAGATTACATCTCTTCCTGAGCGCTGAAGACGGGAAGGAGAAGTGAGAGAGACAGTGACCAGTGCACAGCTGAACTTCCTATGCGTGCAGACACACAAGCTGAAAGAAATTCAGACACGTACAAATGCATATAAACAAGCTCATAAAAGAGAATCAAAATATGCATATAAATAAAAAGGATAGGATAAAGTTGAAACACTCAAATTATGGATATATCTAGAGGGTGATTAACAAAATAATACAAGCTGGAAAATCAATACTTATTTCATTTGATTTCATCAGAGGCAGGAAGTGAGGGTTATGGCCATTTCAATCTTAACGGAACAAGACACACACGCACGCACGCACGCACGCGCACGCACACACACACACAAAGCCACATCCACATGTAATATAAAAAGTAGCATGCAACCAGAGACGAGCGATGACATCACAGCCATGCATCAGAGCAGGAAAAAAAAAAAAAAACTAGCGGTTTAGCAGCTACTGCAATCCAAGCAGATTTGTGTTGTAGATGGTGGCTGTTTACTAACAAGATGCTTATTCAGGCCATATATGCAACATGCAGGTAATAAAAGAGAAAAGGAACTGAGTCAGACAAAGATAGACAAGAAGCAAATGATATGAGAACTTCATGTAAGTGGCAGGTTCATCTCTGTAGTGCTTTATTTCGATTGAGAAATTTTGCTAATGAGCATCACGCAATGAAGAGGAGAAGGAGAAGGAGAAGAAGAAAGGATGACAGAGGTACAGATAGAGAGAAAGAAGAGAGATAACAAAGAATAACAGAGAAAACCAAAATGAAATACTTGACAAGTGAGACAAAAATGTGCCAGACAGATTTACAAAAAGAGACATATTCGACTGCAGGCACGACGGGGGTCGGCTGAGTGTGTGTGTGTGTGTGTGTGTGTCTGTGTGAGAGAGAGAGAGAGAGAGAGAGGAGGGGCTAGGTTAAGCCAGGCTACAGATGCAGCGGAGCAGACAGGCATCTGTCCTGTACATCTGCCACAGCGTCTACAGCAGAGTGGAGCCGTCACAAGACCCCCTGTGAACACACAGACACACACACACACACACACTCTCACACACACAGAGTGGCGAGGCATGCTAATACACACGTGTACTGTGAAATAGCTCAATTAAGATGATCAGACTGCAATTAGTGTGCGCCTTTGTGCATCACAAAAGGTAGATTACACACATCCGTTGTGTCTTGGGTCCGTGGCTTGGGTTAAGACATTTACCATCAGCCACTTCAGGCTGCTCAGCCTCCTTCAAAAAGGTTTTCTCCATTTATGAAGTGACCAACAGAAAAGTGCCGGTTCAATGTTTGACGTCTGACCTCCAGAAATCCCCTGTGAGCCTCTAAAATACTGTTAGGAAGTTGTCCAGAACAACAGGATCTTGCAATCTTGCAGCAACGTTTACAAGATCTCAGCTCTGATATCTTACTATTTGAAAAGAGTACAAGAACAAAATCTAGCACATTCTGTCACAGTGGCAAAGGTGTGGGTTGTCTAATAGCCTGCAGCATCAACAACCAATGAGGTAAAAAAAACAAACGTTTAGAAAGTCTATACAATGAAAGCTGAATGGCAGATTAAGTTGATTTGAGACCGAAGGTGCACTTTTGAACCAATCGCACGCTTCATATTAATAAGATAAGAGGGAAAACATGCAAAAGAAAATAATTCAAGAACAAGAAAATTTTAATGCAAGCATGTGATTTCAGACCAAACAATGGCCTGGGCCAAATCAATTGTCATTGGGGTTTTATCTCTGTCTGAATTTTACAGTTTTTGAGAAAGAAGCAGATAACCAAAAAACAGTTTCTATAGAGCGTTTCCATCTGAGGCGATGGATTCTGCAGAGCTGGCCCTTCCTCCGTTGTTTGGGAGAATAAGCCCTTGAAGGGGCGGCTCCCCGAACAGAAGAGGCAGCTTATCCAGCCTGTATGCTCATGTGTTGTGTCGGTTTGTGTGTAGATTTGTGCATGTGTATCTGTCTGAATCTGAGATGTGTGTGTGTGTGTGTGTGTGTACGCGAGTGCGTGTCTGCGTGCGCTCGTTTCCAGTGTATGTGTGTCACGTATTGTATTTCCAGTCGAGTAGCCTTCCTGACAGGGCGGCCCTGCAGGACCCGGAGCTTTAGCTGCCCTAAAAAGCCCCTGCAGGACGGCGCACCATTTTAGTCGTCTGTGCTGCTGCATGACAGAAAACCGTGGGGCTGTTGTTGCTGCAGGAAGGGGGACAAGTGGGTGGGTGTGAGTGAACATGCAGACATGAGGACACTGAGGCAGATCTATGGAGAAAAACACAAAGAACAAAACACCACGATACACATGGGTACAAAGACACACACAGTTAAGGAGTTGTGCCTTTCAGCTCTTGGGTAAAGAGTGTTTTGTGTCCGTCATATTTCTGGCCATCGAAACCATCAGACAAATGGAGGGGCCAGTGCAAGCCAGCGCACTGGCAGCACATGAATGAAGAGGGGGACACATCAAAAGGTGCTGGGGCCCCTTTTTCCAAAACCAAGCTCGGCTGTTCCAGGCAATATGCAACCCCTCATTTTCCCCGCTGAGCGCCACACGCAGAAGACGAGCACATACACACACACGGGCAAACCCATGCCCGCTCCCAGTAACAAAGAGAAACACCAACAAGCAAACAAGTGCATATACACGCACACACACACACACACACCCATTTACCCCATAAAAAACACACACACTCACACACAAGCCTCCAGAAGCAAGCCACAACATCCATCAACATTCTCTGTTCACCCAAATGTTCCTCCAAATGACTTGGAACAAACTTGAGAGGAACAGAGTAATCAAAAACTTGCAGCGCTGCTCGACCAAATTCTGCTGAATGCAAGGCTCAGCACGGTGCACACGGAGTGCAAGTTTAGACTGCGAGTCCTCTGGAAGGGTGAATTATTGCCTTTCTGGCATGTTTCTCTACAAACAATTGCAATACATGGAGGTTTATTTCCACACAAACGTATTAAAGCAACGTCTCAGAGGATTCTGGAGTGAACAACTACACAGAGACCTAACGAATAAACAATCAACAGCATAACAAATATGATGTAATGTGGCAGGGGTCAACAGATACCAGCTGTTCGACTCTAAAAGTACGGACGATCTTGCAAAGGACTAAAACTACACATGCATTGTCGTCGGCGTTGCTGCTGCAACATGCAGCCATGCGGTGCTCTATTTTATTCTGTGGTTTTTGCAGATGCATGTCTAACTTAATCTGCATCAACCCTCTTCTGGAAATCACCACCGCAAATGATCTCCTCAACGCTGACAGGTCGGCCAAGAGTGAAGTTGATGCCTTTGCATTTCTTTCTGATTTGCGCATATGTTTTTTTTTTGTTTTTTTTTTCCAAAGGCCATGTGCCCATTGACCAAATATGAAAGGTAATACACCTTTTTCTGATTATAACCTTTCAAGACACCTTGTGTACAGCTAGAAAATTCATAATCCCTGTCGGATTATGAAGGTGGAGGTGGAAATTGTATTGAAAAATATTTTGATGTCAACATGAATATGTTCAATTGAGGTATTAATATCATCTAAATACTATAAAGTATAAAAGGAGGAGTTTGTCGTTTTTTTGACCCATTATAGTCAACTGCTTTTAAAGGGTTTTGAAAAAGGGAGCTCATTTATTTACTAGGGGAGATGTGCTGTTACTGTATTCACCAGAATGTGTCTACACTACACACAGGTAGACATACAAATACCACTGTGACAACCAACAAGGTCTTAAGGGAAGATTATGTTGTGTGGACGTGTGTGCACGCACACTCACCTTGTTAGGCGCTGTGGCTGAGGGCGCTCCCCGAACTTCCTGCAAAGACACAAAGTGAGAAGAAAACATGAGTGGGCTGGTTATCGACCACAAACACACGCAGAGTAAACACTGCATTACACAATGGTGCACGTATACAAACACAAACACGTACGTGTACACACACACACACACACAAACACTGTGGCCCTGACAGTGTGTAGTGACTCTGTGCAGAGGCAAGTGACAGGATGTGTATTTTCTTGTTTTCATGGCCGCAGGCAGGTTAAAGCAAGAGTACAGACACTGAACTTTATTCAGATTAATTCCCATCAACGGCATGTCAAAACAGGTTGTGCATTAACAGAAAAAAAAAGAAGAGCAGCTGCTCTTGTTTCAGATTTCACTAAAATATGACACTATTAATATTATATTTCAGGAAGTCGAGTGCAACAGACGAGTCGACAACTCATACACGACAAACCACATGAACCCCAACTATGCAGCCTGGACACCTTGAGATCACAGAGGCCTCAGAGGAAAGCTACACACACTTATCTTGGTTATTGAGGTTTTTGCAACTTACAGCTTTAAACGTCTAATAAACTGTAGACGTGGTTGTGACCTCACTGTTTGACTATATGATAGTAGATCCATTCAGGTGGAAGGTGATTAAGAGTGTAGCAGGCAGACACTACAGCAACAGCTTTCAGGCTTCATGTGTGCCTGATCTGAATTGCAAAAATGGAACAAGTGCATCTGACTTGATAATTTCCTGACGCAGCTTCCAGTTCAATGGTGCGTAATAGTGGAGGGTAAACTTCACTCGATCTGAGGCAACATGCAGCCTTTCTGAAAACCAGATCGCTGGGATATAACACGGTAAATGCATCCGTGTTCTAAAAGATATGACTAATTTCATCACGTCACCGGTCTTTATAAATGACCAGTGGGTGGTGTGACTCTTACACAACAAGTAAACTAATTAACTGGGATTTGTATGCAAAGTCACGGTGAAGTGTGGCAAAATATACAAAATGAAAATGTTTGAAAATGATTCATTTTGTCTAAAAGTGAGACTACCAAAAAAAAAGTGGCACATCTTGCAATATCAAGGGCAATTAATATGCTTAATTAATACAGCAAGGGAGGAAGACACGTGCATAATGGCTCATTTCACTTTTCAAGAATTAATACATTTCTGCGACGTCTTCTCCCCTCAACTCTGGATCTTTCTGCTTCATATCTTCATGACATTACAGTCAATTAATGATGAATTTCCATTATCATGACAGCACCATATACTGTCACTTGCCATAAAGATTCTGTCCTAAGAGTGGACAGACAACTTACAGAAAAATTCAGCCTGCTGGAAGCCTGATGAATCAGTAAACTGCGGTTGACTCATAGCGGAGAGCTCTTAGTCATATGTTGTATGTAACAAGGAAACCACAGCCTAGAGATGTAGAGAGAAAGGCTGTAAACTTGCAACATGTCACAGCTGAGGATGACTGTTTTCTGGTCAACTTTTTTTTTTTGTCTGTAAAAAAACTGACATGTACAATATGTTACAAGAAATATGGTCTGATCTGCCTTCCTTGAACACACAAGCGCACTAACACACAAAATATCCACAAAAGGTAATATAAGAATACCTGTAAAAGCTGTTAGAGGGCAATAAAAAGGGACAGTAAAGCAAGACCAAAGCGCTGAAATTTAAATTTATATGTTTCATTAAAGTGCAAATAAAAAAACAAAAAAACAGTGTTGATGTGCCACTGATACAAGCGGAAGAGTGGAGAAAAGAAGGGTGAAATGTTAGTGAGAGTTGTGAATGTAATAGCAACTTTTTGCCTATTCCTTTCTACAGGTTCTCTGTCATCAGTGCAGGTGTTAAGAGTACACACCTTATGTTTGTCATGAGCCATTCAGTAAATGACCCTCGGCTCAGTATGAACCACACAATTAAAGTCTTATTAGTCTCAAATAGAAAAAAGGTGTCATACTCCCACATGCTCTTTTGCTATTTAAGTATCAAAGCCAGTTATGTTGATTCAAAACATGAGCGAATGGCTTGTAAAACATCCATGTTTGACACCTAGTGCCCTGAAGAGCCAGGAAGTTGTGCCAGTTTTTTATCGTTTTGATTTCATTAAAGCTTCAAATAACAATTATTTATTATCGATTAATCTGCTAATAAAGTATTTGCTGCAGCTCTAAATCAAATCGTGAGATTATGTGACAGTTATGTGACAATACTCGCTCATAGACGACACATTCCCTGAGCATCACTCCAATGTTACTTCAGTGCACATAGGTTTGTAGTGAGGTTAAAACAATACTGGAAATTTCCTTTAAAGCTCTTTACTGAGTGTACGGACTGTGCAGAGTTAACGCTTTTCAAACTCATGTGACACAAACATACTCAACGCCGACCCTAAAACCACGTTAGTCATTGAATCATGAATCTTGTGTACTGTATGTTCGTCACAGTGTCTATTATACCACCACAGTAACAAACGGCTCATAACACACGGCTGGGATAAAGAGGAGGTAGCATGCAGAGGTGATTGTATAGAGGGGTTGTGTGTGTGTGTGTGTGTGTGTCTGCAAGAAGGATACAGTGTGAATAAGTCAGATTTTCTCCTTGTGTAGGATATGGTAGCTTTGCATGTCAATACATCAATAAACACTCAGTGTGTGACTCGGTTGATTGGAGGTTTTGGAAGGCACAGTGTGAAATTAAAAAAAGGAGCACGCAAACACAAGTTGAGGGATGAAAATAACAAACAAAAAAGCAAAAGAAAGAGGCAAAGGGGGAATAAAGGGCAGGAGAAAGCGAGTGAAACTGAAAACATGATTGGTGCAAGACCCAGAAGGAGGGAGTGGAGGTGGAATAATTATAAAGGAGGGCAATCAATAAGGTTCCCACAGTGAAACACTGATGCCTCAAATGGCTAATGGATTCCAGACGGCTCTCCCTCTTTCTCCCTCCCCTCCTCCTCCCCTTCTAAACCTCACCCCCTCCACTGCAAACAGGGAGCAATGGAGGAAGGGATACTGCAGGGAAAAGTGTAGTGTGAGATTAAAGGCGAGGCGAGGCGGGGCAAGAAGGAATAGATGGCGTGTTGTGGAGAAGAGGGAGAATGCGATCTACGCAGAGATGAAGTGCGATGATTTAGTGGTGGATACACAGAGAGAAAAGGCAAGTGAAATAGGGGGAGTCAGAGAACAAGGAGCCATGTCTGCACACAAGGAGCATGAATCAGTCATAGCAGCATTTACTTGCTATTTTTTAAACATTCTGAAACATCCATCATAAAAAATAAAAATAAAATCAAAGCAAAATTCATTCCCACGCATGATAGACGCTTTTTCTAAGAATACATGCGTTTGTGTGTGTATTTAAAACATGCATACATCCAAATTCATGTGAAGTCGTGCTGCATACAGAGAATGGTGGAGGCGGTCAGAGGTGTTAAGGAGGTGGGTTTGCAAGTTCTGTGAAAAACCACGGTCCACGTTTCCTCTCACCTCCATGAGCTCACTTTAAAAACACACTCAGCGTAGATACAAAACACCAAAAAGAGAAGACGACCAAACACAGGAAACCGCAAAAGGTAGAGTTGCAAAGGCAAAAGAAAGCTGACTGTTGCATCTGCAGTTTTTCAGGGACTTGACAGTGAAATGCAACTTTTCATGAAATAGTTCATCACAGTTCAATTTCTGATTTTTTTTTTTGACTTTGTTTTATATTCAGATTTACTTCAATCGTCATAAGTTGCATTCAATATCAAAATGACTTAAAAACAAAAGGTAACCTAAGCCCAGAGTACTTGTTTTTGTATTTCAACATCATTTTGCAATGCTTTTTAAATGACTTTATGATTTTTGTTCTATTATTTTGCCTAACTTTGTTTCATCCTTTTAATCATTTTTCTTGTGAAGCAACGAGAGCTCAATCTCTGCAAAAGTGCTACATGGGTCGTGCTTAAATTCATGCCTGAAAACAAAATGTGTCTCATCTTTTTCCTTTGCACCTCTGACGTGTACTGCAGCACCGAACACAGGCAACTGCAGCCACTAAAACTGATGTTTCTTTGCACCTAATGCAAACACAGACAGTCTGTGAATGCAGGCCAGGGGGTCGGCGGAGGAAAAGGAAGCTCTGTGTAAAGAGGAGTTTCATCTGATTTGCTCTCCATCCGCTATGACTACTCTCCCTTCCCTCCTTCCTTCCTTCTCCTCCTCCTCCTCATCTCCTGCTTACTATCACTTATTCCGCTGGACACAATGAGGGTGAGAGACACTGTGGCCTGACAGCAGCGAGAAAACAAGTGACAATATCCCTATAATAAGACAGATGGCAACAGGGGTCACAAGTGCATTAAGCTCACAACAGGTCTCTCTTATCATTTTCAATGGGTGGAGTGACACAGATAGACTGACAAAGGGATATAGAGCTAATGTTTTTTTTTTAAATATATTTATTTAAATGCAGTTTTGTAACAAAGAAAAAAAGAAAAATCACCCGAGGAAACAAAAGCCTAAGCACCAAATTTTAAGAGTTTGCTAGTTTGACAGTGACAATCATGACAGCAATGTTTCATCATAATATCTGTGACAAGCATAATATGACACAGCTGGAAACTTTTTCATTTAGCATTGCATACAACTGCACTTTTTATTCTTTTTTTTTTTACATGATGCAAAACTGTTGAACTGACTGAAATTCTGTCACCAAACCCACAAAAGGAGAATATGGGGAAGCATTATTTTTCCATACACGATTATGTGTATTAAGCATTTTAAAGTTCAGCTGCGCTTTCTATGGGGCTATGCTGGTCTTTTTGTATGAAGCACAACTTGCACACACTCTGTAACATCATCTCTTCTCCCTCACCCTCATCTTTTTTTACATTCAGATGCACCACAATGAACTGCTGGCTGTATGAATTCTTCACTTTCTCTGCCTTTTTTAAAAACCCAAAAACAATAAAACAATAAAAAAAATTACTGCATTACTGGTAAATATTTCTGTACCAACACAACTGCGTCCA